AGCGATAACACATGGAATTACACATTTGAAAACGTGCTCGCATGTGAAGTGTTCCAAAAACACGTTTCACATGTGAAATCATTTGATTTTCCACATGTGATAACATGAAACTACACTGTTAGCCATTGCTGTACATTTTTTGCTAAATTTGTCATTTTACAGTACATTTCTACTGTAATAGGATACTGTATTAGTGTTTAGCTATTTATTTACTGTCAATCGCAATGCACTTTAACTTGGCATGCCTCACTTGCAATTGCATGTCAATTTATAGATTGTTAGATGCGCTTTAAAAAAAAACAACAGTAATTCTATAATCAGCTACTGAGTGGTGGGTAAAATAGTGGAAACAACTTAAATGTATTTCTACAACTAAACTGTATTTTGTCAGCAAATATACAACAACAAAGCTGTATTCAGAAATTCTAATTCAATTATTTTCAATGCTTTTCAATACTAGAAAAATAGGAATTGGAATTGGGTTCACTTTCTGAATTGACTGGAACTTAAATGGAATTGACCTCAACATTGGTTAGCACACTTGGGACGCAACCACACCTAGGATTTGAACTCAATACTTCTTGGATGCCAGAAACCTGAATATCCTGCTTCGCCACCAAGTCTGTGGCCATGACAGATTGTTGGCAAGAATATATTACTGCACTTTACTAAAAGTTGCCTGGAATCAGGTCAATAATTGTGCAGTTATCTGATAACACCAACTAAAAAGTAGCAGTGCTCAGGGACACTTGACATTAAGGCCTAGATTCAATCAAAGCATAAACAAACAATAGCCGACACGCGCATAGCCGACACGCGCATAGCTGTTGTTTTGGCAGTGTCGGAGGTGTAACTGCATTAAAGCTGTCAAATCAGTCAGCGGCTGCTCATGTGGTCATTGTCATGAAGCCACACCCATCCCACTTGCGTTAGATGTTCAGAACTAACATGTCGGAGGAGGTGTAACTGCATTAAAGCTGTCAAATCAGTCAGCGGCTGCTCATGTGGTCATTGTCACGAAGCCACACCCATCCCACTTGCGTTAGATGTTCAGAACGAGAGTTGTGTAGGCTATATAGAAATAATAACTCTCAAATTGAAAATCAATAAAGAAATGAATGAGGATTTCTATCACCCTTATCTACCTAACCTATGGAAGTGTAGTTTACATATCACATTCCAGTGTTCCAACTTGTAAACAAGGCTGCATGGGATTTCTCCTTAATGCAGCTCCGTTCAGCCAATGGCAAGTTCTGCTTCAGGTATAATGCTTGTGGATTTGACAGTTCTAATGCAACAAGTTGCCGTTTAAGTTAGTGGAAAATGCACAATAACTGCTTCAGTGCATCTCATTACTGACACATTCTCTTCCAAAGTTTGCAGAGCAACGGTGTCAAAGGAATTTCTCTACTTGCATCAGCATAACTATCAAACACTTAAACTGCTTCAAGACTTCCACTGACGGTTGGCACAAATACACGTGACCATGCCCCCAAATATGCTAATGAGCCCCACCAGTACATTGCCCCCACCAATCGAAGCACAGTGATGATCGTACGTTATATTCAAAATATTGGGTAGAACAATGTCCCATTATACCTGCAAGGTACCAAACTGTACCATGTGAGTTCATATGTACCCTTTTGAGCTTTTTGTACCCCAGGCAATAACACTGTAGCGTACCCTAACCATACCCTTATTTTTTGTGTGTGTTAATATATGTTCCAAACAATTAGTATGAACCTGGTGGCACTGCAGAAACATCGATCCACTCCCAACCACGAGGTTGCAAGTTCAAATCCCTAAATAATAAATGTATACTCTACGTCAAACGTCCTTGAACACTGCTAGTTTAATGTTGTTACGTTGGTGGTGATAATTGGACAATCATTTACTTGATTCTGGGCAGCTTTTATCAAAGTGCAGAAATGCATTCTTGCCAGTAAGTCTGTGGCCATATCTCTTTTACATCCACAGATCTGGTGGTGTAGCTGCATTGTAGCAGGACATTACAGGTTGGTAGTGAGCAAGGGGTTATTAGTTGTAATCATATCTAAGGCTGAATCCCAATTGTGGTCACAGCACAATATTTTACAGTAATTTAAATCCGAATACAGCAGCATACTGTCATTTTTTAAATAGAAATTACACCTTCAAGTTGTAATTATTTTACTTTATTTTTTACTGCAACTTTAGGCAAAGTGCAGAAATGTATTCTTGCCAATCTCCATTATGCCCACAAGCCTGGTGACGCAGCGGGAACTTGAGGTAGCTAAGCAACCAAGAGGTTGTGAGTCAAAATCCCAAATGAGGTTGAGTCCCAAGTAATCAGTATACTGTCCTTAACATTAACACCTTAATTTAGTTGTAAAAATACAGTAACTAGTTGTAGATTTACTGTATTTTCACCGCAACTAGACAAAAACCTCCAGGGGACCATGACACAACGTCCTAGAAATGTCCTTGGGGACGTCCCTGGAACAAACCGGGAACTAGACAAATCCTACAGGTGACCATGACTGTTGAAATTGAATTAATGTCAATTATGCCTTTCAAAGTGAAATATTCTAAATGACATGTGACACCTGGGCTTTCACATGAGCTCAAATGTTGCCACATGTGTAGTGTCATGGTATCACATGTTGAAATGTTGCATTTTTATGATTTCACATTCATTTAATGAGATCATGTTGTCACATGTTCTCACGTGTACAGTCGTGGTCAAAAGTTTTGAGAATTACACAAAGTTTGCTGCTTCAGTGTTTTTAGATATTTTTGTCAGATGTTACTATGGTATACTGAAGTATAATTACAAGCATTCCATGAGTGTCAAAGGCTTTTATTGACAATTATATTAAGTTTATGAAAATAGTCAATAGTTGCAGTGTTGACCATTCTTTATCAAGACCTCTACAATCCGCCCTGGCATGCTGTCAATTAACTTCTGGGCCACATCCTGACTGATGGCAGCTCATTCTTGCATAATCAATGCTTGGAGTTTGTCAGAATTTGTGGGTTTTTGTTTGTCCACCCGCCTCTTGAGGATTGACCACAAGTTCTCAATGGGATTAAGGTCTAGGGACTTTCCTGGCCATGGACCCAAAATGTCGATGTTTTGTTTTCCGAGCCACTTAGTTATCACTTTTGCCTTATGGCAAGGTGCTCCATCATGCTGGAAAAGGCATTGTTCGTCACCAAACTGTTCTTGGATGGTTGGGAGAAGTTGCTCTCGGAGGATGTGTTGGTACCATTCTTTATTTATGGCTGTGTTCTTGGGCAAAATTGTGAGTGAGCCCACTCCCTTGGCTGAGAAGCAACCCCACACATGAATGGTCTCAGGATGCTTTACTGTTGGCATGACACAGGACTGATGGTAGCGCTCACCTTGTCTTCTCCGGACAAGCTTTTTTCCGGATGCCCCAAACAATCGGAAAGGGGATTCATCCGAGAAAATGACTTTACCCCAGTCCTCGCTGCCCTTCTTGACACCAGGCCGTCCTCCAAAAGTCTTCGCCTCACTGTGCGTGCAGATGCACTCACACCTGCCTGCTGCCATTCCTGAGCAAGCTCTGCACTGGTGGTGCCCCGATCCCGCAGCTGAATCAACTTTAGTCCTGGCGCTTGCTGGACTTTCTTGGGCGCCCTAAAGCCTTCTTCACAACAATTGAACCTCTCTCCTTGAAGTTCTTGATGATCCGATAAATGGTTGATTTTAGGTGCAATCTTACTGGCAGCAATATCCTTGCCTGTGAAGCTCTTTTTGTGCAAAGCAATGATGACGGCACGTGTTTCCTTGCAGGTAACCATGGTTAACAGAGGAAGAACAATGATTTAAAGCACCACCTTCCTTTTAAAGCTTCCAGTCTGTTATTCTAACTCAATCAGCATGACAGAGTGATCTCCAGCCTTGTCCTCGTCAACACTCTCACCTGTGTTAACGAGAGAATCACTGACATGATGTCAGCTGGTCCTTTTGTGGCAGGGCTGAAATGCAGTGGAAATGTTTTTTGGGGGATAAAGTTCATTTTCATGGCAAAGAGGGACTTGGCAATTAATTGCAATTCATCTGATCACTCTTCATAACATTCTGGAGTATATGCAAACTGATGCAGCAGATTTTGTGAAAATTAATATTTGTGTCATTCTCAAAACTTTTGACCACGACTGTAGTTGTACTTTTTCACATGTTGCTTCACATGTAATCACATTAACTTCACATTAAATCACACAAAGTTCATATTGTTTTTCCGTAAGGGTACCACTACACACACACACACACACCACATACACACATACATTATACACCCGTGCACGCCCATACACACACAGGCATGCACACATCAACAAATAATTGAATGAATCAGCAATAGCTGCAGTAAACCATGCTACCTACACACACACACACACACACACACACACACACACACGATGGAGTTGTGATCCTCTCTCTGCAAAGGGACATTTCATGTAATCCTCTGTCTCTCACTCTCTCTCCCTTTCTCTCTCTGCTGCGTCAGTAGTGAAATGACACTGAGGTTGCTGTAGGTTGTCCCTGCAGAAGAGGGAGAGAGAATCTATAGCCTACATGGGGAGGAGAAAAGGGTAGTAGGAAAGCGAGAAAGATAGAAAGACAGAGGGATGGAAGGGGAGAGAGGCATGTAGGAATGGAAGGAGGCAGAGAAGTGATGGGGAGAAGGGCATCAGAGGAGGGAGAGGGGGATGGAAGGAGGGAGGAATAGGAGAGGGAGGGATGGAGGGAGGCGGAGAGGGAGCGAGAGAGGGATGGAAGGAGGGAGGAATAGGAGAGGGATGGATGGAGGGAGGCGGAGAGGGAGTGAGAGAGGGATGGAAGGAGGGAGGAATAGGAGAGGGAGGGATGGAGGGAGGCGGAGAGGGAGAGAGAGAGAGGGATGGAAGGAGGGAGGAATAGGAGAGGGAGGGATGGAGGGAGGCGGAGAGGGAGCGAGAGAGGGATGGAAGGAGGGAGGAATAGGAGAGGGATGGATGGAGGGAGGCGGAGAGGGAGTGAGAGAGGGATGGAAGGAGGGAGGAATAGGAGAGGGAGGGATGGAGGGAGGCGGAGAGGGAGCGAGAGAGGGATGGAAGGAGGGAGGAGGAATATAAAGGATTATTGGGTGTGGAGAAATGTGTGTTCGGAGGTTAGGCTGTTTAGCAGCAGTATAGGAGTAGTGTATTTATTGGGCTGAAACTATAACGTGAAGAGAAATACGGTTGTGTGTGTTTCAGTCTGTGTGTCTGTGCGTGGGTCTAATGTTTGTGTGTTAGCCAGGGTGTCAGATAATGAAATTGCCAGTTGTTGTTATTGAGTTTAAGATATTCAGTGTTGCGATATGAAATGCGATGTGCTGCAATGTGTATTCAAATTAGTGTTTTGTGAAAAACATTCGGCAAGGGTCTGTGAAATTAAACTGAAATACTCTGATTAAATGAATGCAAATAAATGCTGTGTGCGGGCTCCCTCTGTTTTGGAGCCCTGCAGCAGTTGATATTTCATTAAAATAATCCGAGTGAACACAGCAAACACAGTCACACAAACAGTCTGACTCACGCTCTACGCCAGGGTTACCCCAGATTACCTCTGACCTCTCACAACTGTTCTTAGCGGTGACGACGGCAGGGGGAGGAGTGTGTGTGTGTGTGTGTGTGTGTGTGTGTGTGTGTGTGTGTGTGTGTGTGTGTGTGTGTGTTGTGGGTCAGAGTTATATAAGACTGTATGAGGTGGAAGTCAGGTGTGCATGTGTTCCAATTTCATTCTGTGTCCCCTGCTAGGCGAAAGTGCTGGCACAGCAATGTTCCACAGCTGGGGCTGAACAGTATACACAGCTTACTTAACCTACATTTGTTCACCTTGTTTTAAACCTTTCATTGGCCAGTTATAACTGATAAGGTCTCATTGGCCTGTTATAACTGATAAGGTCTCATTAGCCTGTTATAACTGGATAAGGTCTCATTAGCCTGTTATAACTGAATAAGGTCTCATTAGCCTGTTATAACTGGATAAGGTCTCATTAGCCTGTTATAACTGGATAAGGTCTCATTAGCCTGTTATAACTAAGGTCTCATTAGCCTGTTATAACTGGATAAGGTCTCATTAGCCTGTTATAACTGAATAAGGTCTCATTAGCCTGTTATAACTGAATAAGGTCTCATTAGCCTGTTATAACAGCCTTCCTAACAGTGTTTTCTCTTCTCTCCTCAGATCACCAGAAGCTGGAACGTGAGGCTCGCATCTGCCGTCTGCTCAAACATTCAAACATAGGTCTGTCTGTCTGTCTGTCTACTTGTTTAATTTTGAAATTGAGGATCATGAAAAGTCAACAACTATTTGAGCACAACAGAACTTGAATGAATGGGACTTCAATAATGCTTATTTTCCGTTCAAATCAAAGTTGTTGTTTAAAAAACAAATGACCAGGAGGACAGAGAACGAAGGTGGGAGAGGGAGGTAGAGAAAAGATGAGGCCATACCGATGAGTCAATGACAACTTTGTACTGTCTCTTTCAGTTGCATCTCTCTACCATCTATCCCTCATTCCCTCTCCCTTCTTTCTGGATGTCTTTCTTCAGTGTCCCAGATTGCACTGCCCCTCCCTCCTCTCTTCTCACGCTCCCCCCTCATCTTTCTCTCCTTTTTATAGTTCTTTCTCATTCTGTCTCTCTTTCTCTCTCTCTCTCTCTCTCTCCTTCTCATTTGTCTGAGCTTCATATCAACTTTGGACAGAGAGAGAGACAGATGGAGAGGGAAGAAGAGATTATCACTCATACTGTACTTGCTGCAGGGACGACCTGCTACTTATTACACAACAAATGTACCTTTTTACATAACCTTTAACCCCTAACCTTTAACCTTCAACCCTAAACCCGTCAACACTAAACCCTTAAACAAACCATACATTAGGTCAGATCTAGAATGCCAAACTAAGTAGCCATTAACCTGGTGTATTCCACTGTTAAATCTCACAATTCCTCTTCTCCACCCTCACTCTCTTTCTTTCTTTCTGTAGTGAGACTACATGACAGTATCTCAGAGGAAGGCTTTCACTACCTTGTCTTTGACCTGTGAGTATAACACGCACACATCGACATTCCAGGCTTGTGAATGCGCCTCCATGAATGAGATTTCTTTATATATGATAACAATCTTGTCCTCCTTCCCATCCTCTCTCTGTACTTCTAAAGAAAAGGAGAGCTGAGCGAGAGAGACGAGAGAGAGAGAGAGCAGAGAGCTCCGGAGGCTAGCGCAAGGGAGAACGATCTGGAACCAGGCAAAACAGGCGAGAGTCGAGATAGAGAGATCTTCGACGAAAGAGAGCATCGATAGAGCTGGAATAGCGAGCGCACACTGTAATTCATCACTCTTCTCAATCCTCGATCTCTCTCTCTCTCTCTCTCTCATCTATCTCTATCTCCTCTCTATCTCTCTCATCTCTCGGTCCATCTATTCTCTCTCTCTTTCTCCTCCCTCGGGACTCTCTACCCTGCTGTCTCTATCTCTCTCCTCCTTTCTCCCTCCACCTCTCTTCTCTCTCTCTCTTCTCCGCTTCCTATCTTGTCCTCCTCCTTCTCCCTCCCCCTGTCCTCTCTCTCTCCCTCCTTTCCCCTCCCCTGTCTCTCTCTCTGTCCCTCCCTCCTTCTCCCCTCCCCCTGTCTCTCTCTCTGTCTCTCGGCCTCCCCCCTCCCTCTCTCCCTCCCCCTGTCTCTGTGTCTCTCTATCTGTCTCTTTCTCTCTGTCTCCCTCTCTCTCAGGGTGACAGGAGGAGAGTTGTTTGAAGACATCGTTGCTAGGGAGTACTACAGCGAGGCCGATGCCAGGTGGGCCCTCCCTACTTACTGTTACCATGGTTACGCAGCTGTGCGGCACAGCGCGGGTCAAAACCGTGGGAGAGTGGCATGATTTCGCATCTTTGCTAACTGGCCTATCCACATGGGGTACCTGGGAAGTCTCAAAAGAACATGGTTACCTATTGGTCAAATGCTCATTAGGGGGTACTTCAGGGCTACTTCAAGCATAGCAAAATGTGACAGTAACAAAACAAAGGTTGAGAACCACTATTGTAGTAAATCTGTCTCACTACTTTGACAGTCGCTTCCTATGTCAGACCTGTTGAGCTTTCAGTACAAACCATACATGTGTTTAGTGATGACTGGACAATTGTTTTTCTCCTCTTCTCCCTCTCCTCTCCAGTCAGTGTATTAACCAGATATTCTCTCCCTCTCCTCTCCAGTCAGTGTATTAACCAGATATTCTCACCCTCTCCTCTCCAGTCAGTGTATTAACCAGATATTCTCACCCTCTCCTCTCCAGTCAGTGTATTAACCAGATATTCTCACCCTCTCCTCTCCAGTCAGTGTATTAACCAGATATTCTCACCCTCTCCTCTCCAGTCAGTGTATTAACCAGATATTCTCACCCTCTCCTCTCCAGTCAGTGTATTAACCAGATATTCTCACCCTCTCCTCTCCAGTCAGTGTATTAACCAGATATTCTCTCCCTCTCCTCTCCAGTCAGTGTATTAACCAGATATTCTCTCCCTCTCCTCTCCAGTCAGTGTATTAACCAGATATTCTCACCCTCTCCTCTCCAGTCATTGTATTAACCAGATATTCTCACCCTCTCCTCTCCAGTCATTGTATTAACCAGATATTCTCTCCCTCTCCTCTCCAGTCAGTGTATTAACCAGATATTCTCACCCTCTCCTCTCCAGTCAGTGTATTAACCAGATATTCTCTCCCTCTTCTCTCCAGTCAGTGTATTAACCAGATATTCTCTCCCTCTTCTCTCCAGTCAGTGTATTAACCAGATATTCTCACCCTCTCCTCTCCAGTCATTGTATTAACCAGATATTCTCACCCTCTCCTCTCCAGTCATTGTATTAACCAGATATTCTCTCCCTCTCCTCTCCAGTCATTGTATTAACCAGATATTCTCTCCCTCTCCTCTCCAGTCATTGTATTAACCAGATATTCTCACCCTCTCCTCTCCAGTCAGTGTATTAACCAGATATTCTCACCCTCTCCTCTCCAGTCAGTGTATTAACCAGATCTTGGAGAGTGTTCAACATATCCACCAGCATGACATCGTCCACAGGGACCTCAAGGTGAGTGGTGTGTGTGTGTGGCCGCCTGTTGCTATGACTACCACACACACCTCTGCTCGTGGCCATGGCAACGCACTGCTCTCGTCGCTCCATCCCTCCCACTACCCGTAGTTTCTCTTGTCCCCTCCCCCTCACACTGTCTCTGTTTCCCCCTCTCTAGCCCTCGTCTTTTCTCACTGCCTCACTTTCTCCTTTTTCACCCTGTCACTCTCCCTCCTTCCATCTCCTCCCTCTCTGCACAGTCAGTTGATCACATGTCTGTCCTTGACCAGAGCTGTGTGCGTCATCTGCACGTGAGCAGGGAGGGGACAACCTTATGGTCTACTCTCCCCAATGGCAAGGAAACAAGAAGGACTCCTAGTCACTGACCACACACACACACGTGTATACACACACAAACACATACACACACACACACAGTCCTGACTCCAAAGTAAAGGTGTCCGAGACAAGGGAAGGAGAGATGAACCCTGGGGTTACCATGACAACCCCAGTGACATCACAGTAGCCTGGCTCAGCTGTGATGTCATCACAGCAGCCTAACACCTCACAGCTGATTGGCTGGGATATATATATATTTTTTAATGATTCTTATCAGATGGGTCTTCCAACGAAACACCATGAAGACACATCACTGAATCTGACTTTGTTTATGTGACTCTGACTAGATAGGACACAGAAGTGAATCGCTTTGACAGAGTCTGAAAGGCAAACATTGTATGTATCTGGTAGGGATGAGGCTTTTAAATAATTTCACTATTCGAATAGTATCATTTATTTTTGCCGGATATCCAGAATGCATGTTTTTTTAGTTTTTTACTGAATTTTTTTACCTGAGCACTACTGCGCAAGTGAGCGAGGCTGGAGCTCTATTGCTGCAGCTGCGGAAGGGGCCGTGGGTGACGGAGGGAGGGAGAGAGAGACGCAGTAGCCGACTCAGCTACAGCTAACACTTTTCTTCCTCCCATATAATAGTGCCTGTCTTGACTGGAGTAGTCTAGAGAAGCTAGCCAGATATAGCTAGCCAGGTTAATGCTGCACTTTCTCCCCAACCCTTTCAGATAAAACAGCCTACCTGTTGGTTGCTTGTTTTAGGCTCATCCTTCTCATTTCGCGAACTTTGTAATTCCATCTTGCATTGCATTGGTGAACTTTCACTCCACTTGCTACACATTGAGCCTCTTTGCCACTTTGATTGGCCAACATAAACAATGAGCTACACAGGTGAAGGCTACCTGATGGCTACCAGCCTTTTAATGGGGCACACGTTGTAGAAAATATATTGAAAAGTTTGTTGTTTTATTAAATTAATCATTTGAAATGTCATGGTGTATCCTTGTATGTAACAATGTTTCATGGATAATTTAATTGAGAAAAAGCCTTTTCAGTGTTAAAATAGGCTTATTATTTTGAATATTCGAATAACCATGCACATCCCTGGTGTCTGAGGATAGCTGTATTACCTCTTGTTTGCTGTCTGTCTGATTTGTTGGCCTTTTATCCTGAGTAGGCTTTCACACACACACATGCACGCATGCACACACACACACACACACACACACACGCAGTACACTTAGCATGCAGTCTGCAGTGCTGTCTAGATGACTCCGAAATGGTTTCCATGACTACAACCCTATGTCCATATATGGCCGCAGAGAGAATTGTAGGAGAGATGGAGACCCTCACACTGTCAGATGTGGACAAATCCAAAACGGATGCTTAAATGCAAAAATAGAGACTATTTTTTGGGCCGTCATGATGCCCGAAAAAGTACATTGTGCAGAAAAGTGAATAAATTAAAGGTGAAAAACAAAACGCAAACGTTTTGGTATCAAACGATCATCAGTGTTAAGATGAGGACACACGCCAGGCTTCTATGTAACGTTTTGGTATCAAACTATCATCAGTGTTAAGATGAGGACACACGCCAGGCTTGTATTTAACGTTTTGGTATCAAACTATCATCAGTGTTAAGATGAGGACACACGCCAGGCTTGTATTTAATGTTTTGGTATCAAACTATCATCAGTGTTAAGATGAGGACACACACTAGGCTTGTATTTAACGTTTTGGTATCAAACTATCATCAGTGTTAAGATGAGGACACACGCCAGGCTTGTATTTAACATTTTGGTATCAAACTATCATCAGTGTTAAGATGAGGACACACGCCAGGCTTGTATTTAACGTATTAAACGTTTTGGTATCAAACTATCATCAGTGTTAAGATGAGGACACACGCCAGGCTTGTATTTAACGTATTAAATGTTTTGGTATCAAACTATCATCAGTGTTACGATGAGGACACGCCAGGCTTGTATTTAACGTATTAAACGTTTTGGTATCAAACTATCATCAGTGTTACGATGAGGACACACGCCAGGCTTGTATTTAACGTATTAAACGTTTTGGTATCAAACTATCATCAGTGTTAAGATGAGGACACACGCCAGGCTTGTATTTAACGTATTAAACGTTTTGGTATCAAACTATCATCAGTGTTAAGATGAGGACACACGCCAGGCTTGTATTTAACGTATTAAACGTTTTGGTATCAAACTATCATCAGTGTTACGATGAGGACACGCCAGGCTTGTATTTAACGTATTAAACGTTTTGGTATCAAACTATCATCAGTGTTACGATGAGGACACACGCCAGGCTTGTATTTAACGTATTCAACGTTTTGGTATCAAACTATCATCAGTGTTAAGATGAGGACACGCCAGGCTTGAATTTAACCTATTAAACGTTTTGGTATCAAACTATCATCAGTGTTAAGATGAGGACACACACCAGGCTTGTATTTAACGTATTAAACGTTTTGGTATCAAACTATCATCAGTGTTAAGATGAGGACACGCCAGGCTTGAATTTAACGTATTAAACGTTTTGGTATCAAACTATCATCAGTGTTAAGATGAGGACACACGCCAGGCTTGTATTTAACGTATTAAACGTTTTGGTATCAAACTATCATCAGTGTTACGATGAGGACACACGCCAGGCTTGTATTTAACGTATTAAACGTTTTGGTATCAAACTATCATCAGTGTTACGATGAGGACACACGCCAGACTTGTATTTGAAGGTTAATGACATGCGTCACATGATCCAGTGAGTAAATACATCCGATCGTGTATATATACAGTGGGGAGAACAAGTATTTGATACACTGCCGATTTTGCAGGTTTTCCTACTTACAAAGCATGTAGAGGTCTGTAATTTTTATCATAGGTACACTTCAACTGTGAGAGACAGAATCTAAAACAAAAATCCAGAAAATCACATTGTATGATTTTTAAGTAATTAATTTGCATTTTATTGCATGACATAAGTATTTGATCACCTACCAACCAGTAAGAATTCCGGCTCTCACAGACCTGTTAGTTTTTCTTTAAGAAGCCCTCCTGTTCTCCACTCATTACCTGTATTAACTGCACCTGTTTGAACTCGTTACCTGTCTAAAAGACACCTGCCACACACTCAATCAAACAGACTCCAACCTCTCCACAATGGCCAAGACCAGAGAGCTGTGTAAGGACATCAGGGATAAAATTGTAGACCTGCACAAGGCTGGGATTGGCTACAGGACAATAGGCAAGCAGCTTGGTGAGAAGGCAACAACTGTTGGCGCAATTATTAGAAAATGGAAGATGTTCAAGATGACGGTCAATCACCCTCGGTCTGGGGCTCCATGCAAGATCTCACCTCGTGGGGCATCAATGATCATGAGGAAGGTGAGGGATCAGCCCAGAAGTACACGGCAGGACCTGGTCAATGACCTGAAGAGAGCTGGGACCATAGTCTCAAAGAAAACCATTAGTAACACACTACGTCGTCATGGATTAAAATCCTGCAGCACACGCAAGGTCCCCCTGCTCAAGCCAGCGCATGTCCAGGCCCGTCTGAAGTTTGCCAATGACCATCTGGATGATCCAGAGGAGGAATGGGAGAAGGTCATGTGGTCTGATGAGACAAAAATAGAGCTTTTTGGTCTAAACTCCACTCGCCGTGTCTGGAGGAAGAAGAAGGATGAGTACAACCCCAAGAACACCATCTCAACCATGAAGCATGGATGTGGAAACATCATTCTTTGGGGATGCTTTTCTGCAAAGGGGACAGGAGGACTGCACCGTATTGAGGGGAGGATGGATGGGGCCATGTATCGTGAGATCTTGGCCAACAACCTCCTTCCCTCAAGTACACGGCAGGACCTGGTCAATGACCTGAAGAGAGCTGGGACCATAGTCTCAAAGAAAACCATTAGTAACACACGCAAGGTCCCCCTGCTCAAGCCAGCGCATGTCCAGGCCCCCCAGCCTGAGCATTGAAGATGGGTCGTGGCTGGGTCTGCCAGCATGACAACGACCCGAAACACACAGCCAGGGCAACTAAGGAGTGGCTCCGTAAGAAGCATCTCAAGGTCCTGGAGTGGCCTAGCCAGTCTCCAGACCTGAACCCAATAGAAAATCTTTGGAGGGAGCTGAAAGTCCGTATTGCCCAGCGACAGCCCCGAAACCTGAAGGATCTGGAGAAGGTCTGTATGGAGGAGTGGGCCAAAATCCCTGCTGCAGTGTGTGCAAACCTGGTCAAGACCTACAGGAAACGTATGATCTCTGTAATTGCAAACAAAGGTTTCTGTACCAAATATTAAGTTCTGCTTTTCTGATGTATCAAATACTTATGTCATGCAATAAAATGCAAATTAATTACTTAAAAATCATACAATGTGATTTTCTGGATTTCTTTTTAAAATTCCGTCTCTCACAGTTGAAGTGTACCTATGATAAAAACTACAGACCTCTACATGCTTTGTAAGTAGGAAAACCTGCAAAATCGGCAGTGTATCAAATACTTGTTCTCCCCACTGTACATGCAAATGAGTAGCTAGTACAATAGAATGCGTGATTTAATTATATAAGAGAGAATTGCGCACACATCTTTGCTTCTTTCTCTTTCCCATTCCTTCATCTCTCTCTCCTTACTCCCCCCTTTTCCCTCTCCCAACTGAATGTAAGAATCATCTTTATTGACGTGATATGCGTGTGTAAATGTTGCCATAGCAGAACGGTTTGAAGCACATACAGAGTTACACATTGACAAATGCATCTCTGTCCCGCTCCCTCTGTTTCTACTTCCCCTGTACACACTTTTCTCCCTCTCTCTGTTTCCACCCCCCCCCCAGCCTGAGAACCTGCTCCTAGCCAGTAAGATGAAGGGAGCAGCGGTGAAGCTGGCAGACTTTGGCCTGGCCATCGAGGTGCAGGGAGACCAACAGGCGTGGTTCGGTAAGACCACACACACATTTGGGTAACATTCATCAAACGTTTTAGGTTCCTAGGTTTTAGGTTCCTAGGTTTTATTTATTTTATTTAACAAAGTGAAAGCCAAAACGGTAAAAACGGTGTGCAGGTGAGATTGGAAGCCCCAAAAATCCACAAAAATCTATACAAGTACAAAAAAAGTTTGTTAAATCTGTTAAACAAGCACCTTTTTTATTTATTTTTTACAGTAAACAAGAAAACAACCATGTTTGATTATGTGTTAGAGCTAGGCTACATGGAGGGGACTACTGGGTAGTCTGGTTCATCAGACTGACCCCTGACCCCACTACTGGGTAGTTTGGTTCATCAGACTGACCCCTGACCCCAAGTCTACTACTGGGTAGTTTGGTTCATCAGGCTGACCCCTGACCCCTAGTCTACTACTGGGTAGTTTGGTTCATCAGGCTGACCCCTGACCCCTAGTCTACTACTGGGTAGTTTGGTTCATCAGACTGACCCCTGACCCCTAGTCTACTACTGGGTAGTCTGGTTCATCAGGCTGACCCCTGACCCCTAGTCTACTACTGGGTAGTCTGGTTCATCAGGCTGACCCCTGACCCCTAGTCTACTACTGGGTAGTCTGGTTCATCAGGCTGACCCCTGACCCCTAGTCTACTACTGGGTAGTTTGGTTCATCAGACTGACCCCTGACCCCTAGTCTACTACTGGGTAGTCTGGTTCATCAGGCTGACCCCTGACCCCTAGTCTACTACTGGGTAGTCTGGTTCATCAGGCTGACCCCTGACCCCTAGTCTACTACTGGGTAGTTTAGTTCATCAGGCTGACCCCTAGTCTACAACTGGGTAGTCTGGTTCATCAGACTGACCCCTAGTCTACAACTGGGTAGTCTGGTTCATCAGACTGACCCCTGACCCCTAGTCTACTACTGGGTAGTCTGGTTCATCAGACTGACCCCTAGTCTAGTACTGGGTAGTTTGGTTCATCAGACTGACCCCTAGTCTACTACTGGGTAGTTTGGTTCATCAGGCTGACCCCTAGTCTACTACTGGGTAGTCTGGTTCATCAGGCTGACCCCTGACCCCTAGTCTACTACTGGGTAGTCTGGTTCATCAGACTGACCCCTAGTCTACTACTGGGTAGTCTGGTTCATCAGGCTGACCCCTGACCCCTAGTCTACTACTGGGTAGTCTGGTTCATCAGACTGACCCCTAGTCTATACTGGGTAAGTTGGGTTTTCAGGCTGACCCTGAACCCCCAGTTTCTACATGGGTAGTCTGGTTCATCAGACTGACCCCCGACCCCTAGTCTACTACTGGGTAGTTTGGTTCATCAGGCTGACCCCTGACCCCTAGTTATACTGGGTAGTCTGGTTCATCAGACTGACCCCCAGTTACTACTGGGTAGTTTGGTTAAACAGGCTGACCCTTCCCCTAGTCTCTACTGGGTAGTTGGTTTATTAGGCTGACCCCTGACCCCTATACAAATGGGTAGTTTGGTTCTCAACTTTAAACCCCCCGTCTACTACTGGGGAGTCTGGTTATCAGCTGACCTGACCCTAGTCTACACTGGGTAGTCTGGTTCATCAGACTGACCCCTGACCCTAGTCTACTACGGGTGATTTGGTTTATCAGACGGACCCCCGACCCTATCTAATACGGGGAGGGTTTGGTTCAATCAAGGCTGCCCCCCGACCCAGTACTACTGGGGAGGGCGGTTCATCAGGCGCCCCTGACCCCTAGTCTATACTGGGTAGTCTGGTTCATCAGACTGACCCCCCTAGTCATAGGGGTTTATTTTGGATGGGATGACCCCTAAGTCTAAACTGGGTATTGGGTCATCAGCTGACCCTAGCTACTATGGGTAGTTTGGTTAATTAGGGTGCCCCCTGCCCCCTTTATCTTCTTTAGGCCCCGTTTGGTCATCAGACTGACCTGACCCTGTCCCCCTAAATATGGGTGTTTGGTTCTTTAGACTGCCCCCTGACCCCTAGTTATATACGGTAGTTGTCATTAGACGACCCTGACCCAGTTACAAATGGGTAGCTGGTCACAGCTGACCCTGACCCTAGTTACTACTGGGTAGTTTGGTACGGGCGGGACCCTGAACCAAAGTCTACACGGGGTAGTCTGGTCATCAGGACTGACCCCCCTAGTCTAACGGGGAGTCTGGTTATCAGATGACCCCTAGTCTCTACTGGGTAGTTGGTTTCATCGGGACGCCCCCTGTCTACGCTTGAAGTTATTGAGGGATGATGTTGTTTTGGCAATGTGAGAAGGAATTCCAAAGTAGGAACCTCTTTATTAAAGAGAATGCTATGTGAGATGGGGCCCAGGGGGAGGGTGAAGGTTATCGCAGTGTCATGTTGTATGCATGGATTTGGGAATTAACCTGGAAGAATCCATTGAAGGGTTTAGATGAAGGCGCATAATTGGAGTATATTAATGTTGTAGATTGACAATATATTGAGTTTCTTAAACAGACTAGTGGCTAGTCTTGCAAATGTATTTTGTGTGATGAGTAATTTGTGTATGTAGGAAGCATATGTACTGGCTCAGACAATATTACAATAAATGAGATTTGGGTATCTTAAGCTTGTAGTATAGAGTTAGGAAGCGAGCCTGATGAACCAAATCACTAATCTTTCTGATGATACCAAACAGACTTCCCCACTTTGCTGCAGACAAAGTGAATATGATCTTTCCAGGACAATGTAAGTCTAAAACCATTCTGTTTTTTCTGTCGGGCAGGTTTTGCGGGCACCCCTGGCTACCTGTCCCCTGAGGTCCTTAGGAAGGACGCTTACGGCAAGCCTGTGGACATATGGGCCTGTGGTGAGTCTTTAACCTTTAACCTCTTAACTGTAGACCACTGCACCACGGCAATCTAAATAACCATCTAGTGACTACTGGGTAATGTGTGTCACCATCCCATTCCTTAGGAGAGGCCATGGTGCAGTGGTCATACATCTTAGACAAGGGTTTACGGAAAATCTAACAAATCTGAACTCTGTCTCTTCTCTTCTATCTCTCTCTCTCTTCTATCTTATTTATATCTCTGGGCTTTATATTATAGCTCTTGCTATGTTATATCTCTCTCTCTTTGATTTTTCTCTTTCTTTTCTCTCTCTTCTATCTTTTCTATGCTTTCTCTTTTTTTTCCTTTTCCTCTCTCTTTGCTTTATTCTGTTCTCTCTCTTTTCTTGCTCTCTTCTCTCTATCTCATTTTCTTGAAATATATTATATTCATTATATGAATTCTTTTCTTTATTCTCTCTTCTTCTCTCTAGCTTGTTCTTTATGTTCTCTCCCCTTCTCTCTCTTTTCTCTCTCTTCTTCTCTCTGCAAATTTCTCTGTCTCTTTATTGTTCTCTTTTCCCGCCTTTTTCTCTATCTTCTTGTCTCTCTCTCTCTGTCTTTTCTCTTTTGTCTCTCTCTCTCTCTTTTGTCTCTCTTCTGTTTTTATCTTGTCTCTCTCTCTATTTCTCTTAGTTTATTCTTATATATTGTTTGGTCTATCCTCCCTTTTGGATTGAAACCAACAAACTCTACAAGATCAACTGGTGCTCCTTTTTATGGAGTTTGTGTTTTTTTTGGTGTTTCGTAATATTTGGTTGGTGGGCTGGTGGGTTTTTATTATGGAGATTGAAAGCCACCCCCAGAAACGATCCATAGCCTTCCGAGGGAGGGGGGGTTGGTGTGGTGAGGGGTATCCTCTCCTTTTCTCTCTAGTATTCAGGTTACATAGTTAATGAAGACTGGTACTGAGACATTCAAACACACACGTTAACATTCTGAATTGTAGGAAGACTGATTGTTTACATGATGTGAAACGTTAAGAAATACATTGGTTACGTACCATAATGCAAATCATGGTACTCCCTTTATGTCACTCTTCCTGCCTCTCTCTACGCCGTCTCTCTCTCTTCTCCGTTCATCTCTCATCTCCTTCTCTCTCTTTCCGTCTCCTTCTCTCATTCCGTTCTCTCTCTCTCCCGTTCTCTCTATCTCCGTCTGCTCCTACTCTCTCCGTTCCTCTCTTCTCTCTCCGTACTCTCTCTCTTCTCTCCGGACGTCTCTCTCTCTGCCGTCCTTCTCTCTCTCTCTGTCTCCCTCTCTCTCTCTCTCTCTCTCTCTCTCCGTCTCTCTCTCTCTCTCTCCTCTCTCTCTCTCTCTCTCTCTCCCTAGTTTCCCTCTCCAGAGTGGGACACTGTTACTCCAGAGGCTAAGAACCTTATTAACCAGATGTTGACTATTAACCCTTCCAAGAGAATCACTGCTGATCAGGCTCTCAAACACCCATGGATCTGCGTAAGCACATACACACACACAAACACACACACACACACCACACAGTGGCCGTGTCCGAAATCTGTCTTGCCTACTACTTACTAAAACTACATACCGTGTACTAATCGTACTACATACTATTTAGAACGTACTGTTTAGTAAAATGATTGCAGTAAGCAAAAAAATCAACATACTAGACTCATCCATACTGAGAATGTGTAATCTAATGCACAATCAATCGCGTTGCTTCCTGCCATTCGTTCATTTTGATACAGAGCGTCCCCTCATCTGATTATCAGCTGTTGTCAAACACACGTGGGTCGGAAAAGCTGAATATTTTCCTCAATAGCATGCAGCGAATTGTACTACACTGAACAAAAATATAAACGCGACACGTGAAGTGATGGTCCCATGTTTCATGAGCTGAAATAAAAAATCCCAGAAATGTTCCATACGCACAAAAAGCTTTTTTCTCTCAAATTTGTTGCGCAAATTGATTTACATCACTGTTAGTGAGCATTTCTCCTTTGCCAAGATAATCCATCCACCTGACAGGTGTGGCATATCAAGAAGCTGATTAAACAGCATGATCATTACACAGGTGCACCTTGTGCTGGGGACAATAAAAGGCCACTTTAAAATGTGCAGTTTTGTCACGCAACACAATGCCACAGATGTCTCAAATTTTGAGGCCCCGTGCAATTGGCATGCTGACTACAGGAATGTTCACCAGAGCTGTTGCCAGAGAATTCAATGTTCATTTCTCTACCATAAACTGCCTCCAACGTTATTTTAGAGAATTTGGCAGTACGTCCAACCGGTCTCACAACTGCAGACCACGTGTGTAACCACACCAGCCCAGGACCTCCACATCTGGCTTCTTCACCTGTGGATCGTCTGAGGGGGGGTGCGGGTGGTGCTGAGGAGTATTTCTGTCTGTAATAAAGCCCTTTTGTGGGGAAAAACTAATTCTGATTGGCTGGGCCTGGCTCCCCTGTGGGTGGGCCTGGCTGCCAAGTGGGTGGGCCTATGCCCTCCTAGGCCCACCCATGGCTGTGCCCCTGTCCAGTCATGTGAAATCCATAGATTAGGGCCTAATGAATTTGGTTTAATTGACTGATTTCCTTATACTGCAAAAAAATTCTTTGAAATTGTTGCATGTTTATATTTTTAGGTATAGATGTAAAGCAGAAATGAGTGTGACATTCTAGCATTTAGTGCATAATGAATTTTAGAAATTTCACCTACTATAAAACATTCTATTTTCGCATACCAAAAAAGCCTACTATTTAGAACTGAAGTATGGGTATTTGGACATGGCTGCACACACACACACACACACACACACACACACACACACACACACGGTTTTGTATAGTGTTTAATGCTTGTCTCTGTCCCCTCCTATAGCAACGTTCCACCGTGGCGTCTATGATCCACAGACAGGAGACAGTGGAATGTCTGCGCAAGTTCAATGCTCGGCGGAAACTCAAGGTACACTACTGCTGCTACCTCCTACGCCTCTCCTCTCTTACACATCTCCTCCTCTCCCTCCTACACCTACATCCCCCTAGACCCTCTCCCTATATACCTCCCCTAGACCACCTCCTCCCTCCCTATATACCTCCCCCTAGACCACCTCCTCCTCCTCCCTATATACCTCCCCCTAGACCACCTCATCCTCTACCTATATACATCCCCTAGACCACCTCAACATAATAAAAAACAATACATCCAATAGACAAATAAAATAATAATAATCCTCAAGTCCTCATAATCGAAGCACCTTGCTCCTTTCCCCCCTCTATGTATATACCTCCCCTAGACACTCTCCTCCTTCCTCACTCTATACTCCCCCTGAGACCACTCCTCCTCTTCTCCCCTATATAACCTCCCTAGACCACCTCCTCCTCCTCCCTATAACTCCCCCTAGACCACTCCTCCTACCATATATACCTCCCCTAGACCACCTCCTCCTCCCTATATACCCCCCCTAGCACCACTTCCTCATCTTCCCTAATACATCCCTCTAGACACCTCCTCTCTCCTCCCTATTTTTATACCTCCCCGCTGACCAACCTCTTCTCCTCCCTAATATCCCTCCCCTAGAAACACCATCCCTCCTCTCCCTATATACCTCCACCGCACCTAACGAAGACTCCACTAGACCATCCTCTCCTCCCTATATACCTCCCCCTAGACCACCTCCTCCTCCCTATATACCTCCCCCTAGACCACCTCTACTCTCTCCCTATAACTACCCTCCCCCTAGACCACCTCCTCCTCCCTATATACCTCCCCCTAGACCACCTCCTCCTCCCTATATACTCCCCTAGACCCCACCTCCTACTCTCCCATATAACTCCCCCTAGACACCCTCCTCCTCACATATACCTCCCCCTAGACCACCTCCTTCCTCCCTACTATAACTCCCACTAGACCACCCTCCTCCTCCCTATATACTCCCCTAGACCACCTCCTCCTCCCTCCTAATACTCCCCCAGACCACCTCCTCCTCCATATAACCTCCCCCTAGACCACCTCCTCCTCCTCCCTATATACCTCCCCCTAGTCCTCCTCCTCCTCCCTATATACCTCCCCCTAGACCACCTCCTCCCCTCCCTTCCTCCCTATATACCTCCCCTAGAACCACCTCCTCCTCCTACCTATATACCTCCCCCTAGACCCAACTCCTCCTCCTCCATATGACTCCCCCTAGACACCTCCTCCCTATATACTCCCCTAGACCACCTCCTCCTTTAGACCTCCCCACCTAGGACCAACGTATCCCTATATAACCTCCCCCTAGACCACCTCCTCCTCCTCCTCCCCTAATACCTCACCATAGACCACCGCCCTCCTCCAGATATACCTCCCCCTAGACCACCTCCTCCTCCTCCTCCTCCCTATATACCTCCCCCTAGACCACATTTCTATCAATATGTTATTGGGCCCATTTCTGGAGGTGAAAATTATATTTTAAGATGGTGTCAGCATCATTTTATTTTCATACGTTTTGGAGTGGAATGTCCTTTTTAAAAAGTCACCAGAACTGAGCTTCTCAGTCCTTCTACATAAAACCTAAGCAACGGGACTGGAATTGGTCAAACTCCCAGTTGAATACATCCTTCCCTAAAAGCATGATGGTCATGACTATCTTACATGAAAGGGGAGGTTAACTTGACCCCAGACAATCCATCTGAGATCGACCCCCCTTACCTCCCCTCATCCGATCATATCTCTTTATTACTCATCCCTTCTCTCTCTCTCTCTCTCTCTCTCTCTCTCTCTCTCTCTCTCTCTCTCTCTGTCTCTCTCTCTCTCTCTCTCTCTGTCTCTCTCTGTCTCTCTGTCTCTCTGTCTCTCTCTCTCTCTCTCTCTCTCTCTCTCTCTCTGTCTCTCTCTCTCTCTCTCTCTCTCTCTCTCTCTCTCTCTCTCTCTCTCTCTCTCTCTCTCTCTCTCTCTCTCTCTCTGTCTCTCTCTCTGTCTCTCTCTCTGTCTCCCTCTCCTAGGGAGCGATCCTCACCACCATGCTGGTGTCCAGAAACTTCTCAGGTGGGTGTGTCTCCTCCCCCCCCCTTCTCCCTCGCTCCAGTTACAGAGTGAGGGGGGAGGAGAGAGAGAGGGCTCTACTCTCCCTCCTCCTCCCTGGAGTCTACCTAATGTAGGTTTTTAGGCCGAGAGGAGGAGGAGGAGGAGTTTGTTTTCAGAACACAAGTTCTGAAGGAGAGGCGTAGGTGAAAGGAGCAGATGTCATAAGGTGTCCGTACAAGGAAGTGCTAGAAGGAGGTGTCATTCTAGAATGTCATATTTCCAGCAGGACTATGTGTGTACATTGTGTTTTTATATCTATGTCTCTAACACCTTTCTCCCTCTCTTTGTCGGCTCTGGAGTGTGTGTGTCTGTGTGTGTCTTTGCGTGTGTGTGTGTGTGAGTGTGACAGAGCCCTAGAGGTTGTGTAAGGCTCAGGGTTCCTGTAGTGTGACAGAGAAAGGGCAATATTTAATGCTCTACTTCCCCTCCTTTACTAGCTAAGATGATTAGAGGTTAAGACCTGCCCTTAAAGGAATGGGGGTTTTGCGTCCTAAATGGGATCCTACTCCTCGTATAGTGCACTACTTTTGGCTACTATATGGAGAATAGGGTGTCATTTGAGATTGGTCACTGTATTGGGTTAGGCCAGCCCAGATTTGCATAGCTCCTCCCAATTTAAGTGTCTCTGTCCAATAGTGGGCCGGCAGCATACCAACCCTGCTGCTGTGTCCTCCACCGCCTCGCTGGCGCAGGAAGGTACGTCACAGAGACACGCCCTCTTACTTCCTCTGCACACACTTCCTGCTTCCTGTTTAAGCCCCTCCCACGTCATACTAAAAGGGAGCACCATGGTCTCTTTAACCTGCTAGCCCCCTTTAGAAGTTATCTAGCCCCTTTCTCTCCTGCATGCAGCTCACGCTAGCCTCACAAACACACACACACAGACTCATGTGAGTACGAGATGGATTTTTAAGGATGATGCTAATACCATGCACACAGGCTAAACACATCTAAAACTACACATACTCTGTCAACAATACCACTCAGCCTCATATCATCATCAGAAAGCATCAATAGCATATCAACCCCCCTCCCCACCCTTCTCCTGTGGTTACGGCCATGAGAGGGGGTTGAGGGGGAAGGGATTGGGGGGGGGGGGGGGGGGGCGTTGTATCTGTGGCGACTGACTGACTGGAGGATGGACAGGAGCGGGAGAGGCACGCTGCCATCGTCTGACCTGGGGGAGGGGGGGGGGGGGAGACTAAGGTCGGCGATCCCATGTGGACTAGGAAACAGTATACGGTTTATGAAAGACTGAAAGGGTTGGATAGGTGCAAGCAATATGGAAAAGATTCCACCCAGCCTATCATTGAGCAAAGTGGAGCTACTATCGGATTATTTACACCTATCAAATATTTTCAGATCTACAGGTGTCTTTAGGAGGTTTAAGTAGTGTTGAAACAATAACAAGGGGCGGGAGTTAGTCTCCCCTGAGCGTGCGATTGGTGCTCTGTGGTTCTGCATGAGGGTGATTGACAGAAGCGTACGGTAGAGCCCTTCAATCACAGGGCTCTCCTCTGAGAGCGGACCAATCGCCTGCCAGTAAGTCCTGACGTCGGATGAGATCGCCCCCCGTAAAAGGCATCTGCAGCTTAGCCTTTCCGCAATGACATCACTGCTTGCCCCTCCCCTCCGCTGTGTATGGCTGAGGCAGACTCAGCTCTCTGCTTATGATGCGCTCTCTTCCCCAATCACATCGTCACACTGTAGCACAGAAAAGTGTGACGAATTGTAGTCAATACAAGATGTCAAGTGTGAACAATGTGGATGTGTTGCCTTGCTGCATGTGGACTTGTATTCCCTATACTCTGTTTCCCTTCCCATCTCCCTGAAGTGTGCACTCGTTCACTTTCCCTCCTAGATGTGAAAGGATTGGACTGGTATGAATGCACACTAAAGGAAGAACAGGGAGAAACGGGATTGGACAATTGAAAGTTACTCCTCCCTTCGTGTCTTTCTCAAAATAGCCACTGTTCTAAGGTGACTGGAAAGGTGAATGTTCTTATGTGGTGACCATGTTCCAACTACATTGCAGAGGCCTGCCAGCTCTCAGGTGTTTAACAGGCGATGACGTGGCATGAAGCCATTGGTTGTTGCAATAAAACATCTGTAATGTAGTCGGCCTGGAACGCGACCGATACGTCCGACCTCGATTATTTTGAGGAAGTTAGGGGAGGAAACATTTTGAGGGTGTTAGAATGGGTTCCATGCTAGCCCGCCCCGTGGGCAGCTGGGTTGAAGAGGTGGCAGGGGTCAATGGTTAGCCAATCAGGGCATGGCTCTGTCCCGCTGTTTGCTGAATGGAAGCTATGCACCTTGGGAACTGTAGTTGATGTGGATGCTGCATGGCTGGTCCGTTGTGTGTTCCAGCCGTTCCTCTGCATGACGTAAAGCGCATGGCGTGGGAACAGCTCTGATCAAGGCTCCAACCCCGAGTCGGAGCATGCTCAGTCTGCTCTGCCCGCCGCTCCACTAGGGAGCAACAGTGTCCCTGTAACAGCCAATACCACCACACTGCACAGTAAGAACGAACCACCACAGACAACTGAAGGATGCCTGCTGCCTAAAACATCTCTTTCACTCTCTCTCTCTCTCTCTCTCTCTCTCTCTCTCTCCATCTCTTTTCTTCCTCCTCTCTCCAACTTGTTAACGGAAGGTAAGCAACCCCAAGAGAATGCATGCATCCCAGCATTGTGTGCTCCAGTAACACATTAAAAGCAGTGGCGACAGCAGCAGAGTGAAGAGCTTTAGATGAGGCCAGAGTGAGAGGGCTGGCTGGCTGACTGGCTGGCTGGTTGACTGGCTGGCTGACTGGCTGGCTGACTGGCTGGCTGGTTGACTGGCTGGTTGACTGGCTGGTTGACTGACTGACTGGAGCCTCCTAAAGGAAGTCAATAGTTTACATTAACCTGACTTAACATCCACCTGTCTCTTCTAAAGCTCTCCCATTCTCTCCCATTGTCCCTGAAGTGTGCACTTGTTCATTTTCCCTGTTCCCTGAAGTGTGCACTTATTCACTCCCCTTTGTGGATTAAGAATGAATAGGCTGTCTTTGGTGTCAGGAATATGGTGGAAAACGCCCTTTCGTCTGTGTTTACACCAATTCGATGCGTTTCAATCCATGAAGGGGATGGTTTATTAAGGGACAACATTGCAGGAGTGTGTTAAGGATCATATGGAGTGTGTGTTCTTGTGTTGCTTACCTGATGTGTACATCATTACTGACCGTGAAAGATGCTGAGGCTGCTTGGTGATAGAGAAATGTTTGAGGTCAGGCAAGCTCTATTCGATCGTTAGTCTGTACACCCTCTTTACAGCCATGCAAAAGGTTTAGGACTTGGGATTATAAGAAAGGGAGGGATGCGATGGTAAGGGAAGGAGGTTGAATAGAGTGGGAAGTCTAGAGAGCGTGCACAGTCGCGGCACATATCGCTTATCGATCCCGTTCGATGCGCTGACTCGGCGGACGCTGCGCGGCTGCTAGCGCGGCGGCTGTAATCGCGGTGCGGACTCGAGGACGCGCGCGACGCGCGCGGCACCGCGCCGATCCGCGAGCGAGCGCGACCGCGCGCGCGACCGCGCGCGGGGCGCAGCTAGCGAGACGACCCGCGGAGCGCGACCGCGCGGCGCGAAGGGGCGACGCAGCGCGCGAGCGACCGCGCGCGCGCGCGCGACACCGCGAGCGCGCGCGCGCGGCGCCGGCGCGGCGAGACCGCGCGCGCGCGCGCGCGAGCGCGACCGCGCGCGGGGGCGACCGCGCGGCGGCGAGCGACGCGCGCGCGGACCGCGACGCGCGCGCGACGCGAGCGCGCAGCGCGCCGCGCGCGCGCCGAGCGCGGCGCGGACCGCGCGAGCGCGCGCGCGCGCGACCGCGCGCGCGACCGCGCGCGCGCGCGCGCGCGGAACCGCGCGCGCGCGCGGACCGCGGCGCGCGCGCGCGACCGCGCGCGCGACCGCGCGGCGCGCGCGACCGCGCGCGACGCGCGAGCGCGCGCGCGCGCGACCGCGCGCGCGCGGACCGCGCGCGCGCGAGACCGCGCCGCGCGACCGCGAGACCGCGAGCGGACCGCGCGCGGGGCGACCGCGCGCGACGCGCCCCGCGCGCGCGCGACCGCGCGCGCGGCGCGACGCGCGCGTAGCTGCGCGACCGAGCGCGCGGACCGAGCGACGCGCGCGCGACCGCGCGCGGGGTGACCGGGCGCGCGCGCGCGCGCGCGCGACCGCGCGACACGCGCGCGCGCGACGCGCGCGCGACCGATCGGACCGCGCGCTGAGACGCGCGCCGCGGCGGCGCGCGACCGGACCGCGCGCGGCGACCGCGACGCGACCGAACGCGGCGCAGGCGCGCGCGCGCGACCTGACCGCGAGCACCGGCGCGCGCGGGCGGACCGCGAGCGACCGCAGAGAGCCGCGCGGCGCGACCCCCGCGCGAACAGCGCGCCGGCGGCGCGCGCGCGGACCGGCGCTGTCGCGCAGACACCGAGCAGCGCGCGCGCGACCGGCCGCCGCCGCGCGAACGCGCGACCGCGATACCGCCCGCGGACCGCGCGACCAGCGCTCTCCCCTACCGTCTCTCGCTACCGCGCTTGACCTCTCTCTCTACTCTCTCTATCGCGAGACCTCTCTCTCTCTCTCCTATCTCTCTCTCTACCCTCTCTCTCTACTCTCTTACCTCTATACCTCCTCTCTACCTCTCTCTCTCTACCTTTCTCTCTCTCGCTACCTCTCTCTCGCTACCTCTCTCTCTCTCTCGCTACCTCTCTCTCGCTACCTCTCTCTCTACCTCTCTCTCTCTACCTCTGTCTCTCTCTCTAGCTCACAGGGGTGGTGAAGAGGTGACTTGATTTAGTGGAGAATTAAAGGCTGTTGTATGTAAAGAGAAGTTAAGATATTTCTCTCTTCAGTTACATTTTGTTATTTGTGTGTCTCAGCCCACGACCAACAACAACAGTAAGAACAGCATAGTGAGTGCCATTAATGCCATGAAGGACAACAGCATGGCCGCCGCACAAATGGTACAAAACCTTAACCACCTCCTCCTCATCCTGGTGTTCTCTCTTAGCAACCCAAACCACCTCTCCTTCCCCCGCTCCCTTCATCGTGTCTCCCAAGAACCCTAACCTCCTCTCCTTCCCCCGCTCCCTTCATCGTGTCTCCCAAGAACCCTAACCTCCTCTCCTTCCCCAGCTCCCTTCATCGTGTCTCCCAAGAACCCTAACCTCCTCTCCTTCCCCAGCTCCCTTCATCGTGTCTCCCAAGAACCCTAACCTCCTCTCCTTCCCCCGCTCCCTTCATCGTGTCTCCCAAGAACCCTAACCTCCTCTCCTTCCCCCGCTCCCTTCATCGTGTCTCCCAAGAACCCTAACCTCCTCTCCTTCCCCAGCTCCCTTCATCGTGTCTCCCAAAGAACCCAACCTCCTCTCCTTCCCCAGCTCCCTTCATCGTGTCTCCCAAGAACCCCTAACCTCCTCTCCTTCCCCCGCTCCCTTCATCGTGTCTCCCAAGAACCCTAACCTCCTCTCCTTCCCCCGCTCCCTTTCATCGTGTCTCCCAAGAACCCCTAACCTCCTCTCCTTCCCCCGCTCCCTTCATTGTGTCTCCCAAGAACCCTGACCTCCTCTCCTTCCCCGCTCCCTTCATCGTGTCTCCCAAGAACCCTAACCTCCTCTCCTTCCCCAGCTCCCTTCATCGTGTCTCCCAAGAACCCTAACCTCCTCTCCTTCCCCCGCTCCCTTCATCGTGTCTCCCAAGAACCCTAACCTCCTCTCCTTCCCCCGCTCCCTTCATCGTGTCTCCCAAGAACCCTAACCTCCTCTCCTTCCCCCGCTCCCTTCATCGTGTCTCCCAAGAACCCTAACCTCCTCTCCTCAGTTCCCCTCATCCTCGTCTCTTCTCCTAGCACTCTAACCTCCTAGCGACTTAAAGTCCATGATCCCTTCCTAGCAACCTAACCTCCATACTCTTCTCCCGTCTCGTCCTAGTGGTCTTGTCTGTGTGTGCTGGAGTCTGTTTAAGAGTGTTTAAGATTTGACCCTTCACCCTTCATGGACCTCTAACCCCATCCTCCATCTTAATATCAACTCAAACCCTAACCCCCAGGCACTTGTGCAGACGTGTGTTTGTGTGTGACCAAACTGAACTCTATACTCCCCTTCTCACAGGAATCTCAGAATACAGTGGTTTCTGCTGATGGGATCAAGGTGAGGGTGTTAGTGTGCAGTTACTGTGGGTCTGAGTCGTATGTTGTTAACCTATGTGTTGTTAACCTCTCTGTCTCTCTCTCTCTCTCTCTCTCCTCCCTCTCTGTCTCTGTCTCTGTCTCTCTCTCTCTCTCTCTCTCTCTCTCTCTCTCTCTCTCTCTCTCTCTCTCTCTCTCTCTCTCTCTCCAGGGTTCTACAGAGAGTAGCAACACAAATGAAGATGAGGATATGAAAGGTAGTAAAGATTACTCTGTCTTTCCCTCTTTCCCCCTCTCTCCCTCTCTCTCTCTCTCGCCTGCTCTTCTGTCTCTTTTTGCTTGGTTCCCTCTCTTCTTCTCTTTGTGGTCTAACATATCGTTTCTGATAGGATGACCTGCCTGTGCTATATAGCTAGCAGTGTGTGTGTGACTCACCCGTGTGTGTGTGTGTGTGTGTGTTCTAATTTAGCGGACAGCGTTGTGATGATGAGTCAGGGAAGTGCTACAGACGAGATGCCCTCTCTATTGACCTCGTCTGACAACTCGCCTGCCAGTAAGTGTTTTCACGGCAACCACAACCTTTTGTGGTCGTCCCTGGCAATGACCCCCACAATTCCTGACCTCTGACCTTTGTTTGTTCTGCTTTTCCACCACGTGAACTCCGACCTGTATGTCTATCCCTATTTTTTTCCCCTAGCCTCCAGCATTAAGAACCTCTCTTCTCTAGCCTCTGTGTTCTTGCTGAGTCCCAAACCAGTCCTTTCCCCTTTTCTCTGGCCTCTCTTCCCTCCATTGGCGCGTTCACATGTGCCTCCACCATATGCACAAGTGCCCCAAAGCTGAGGGAGTACAAATTGTCGAGGATGTAGGGGCTAATTTGGATCCTTCGATAGCCACTTCGACTTCATACAAAACAATGAAAGGTGTGCCTTATTAAATGCCACCTGCTTTTGTTGGTCTGATTTTGGAGACTTGACACATGTAACAGATAAAATACCTCCCAACTTAAACGTTAAACTGTTACTTAAACTGTTACTAAGGTTTATATCTTGTAAAATAACAGGGGGGATTTGTTCATTTTAAATGAATGCTTGTTTTATTATTTAAATGTATGTGTCCCCAAGTTGATGGGGTTTATTAGATTCTTCACCGAAAGTCACCCTCTGAGTTTCGTTAGCAACACGTGACAACGGAGGGCCCTCCGAGCGAGTTGGTTGGGGCGAGGGGCTGGTTTGGGATTCATCCTCTCTCTCCCTCTCTTTCTGTGTCTTCACTGAGTCACATCTGTGAAGGGAGATGGTGAAGGGAGAGGGAGTGGGCTCTAAAATGTGAGACTCTCATCATACTATAGGGAAGAGAGGGCAAGACGATGACGATGCAGTCAAGGAGACGCAGGCAGGAGACGAGAAGACGCCTCCTCCCTCTCTCCTTCTCTCTTGCTATCCCCCACAGCACTGCCCTTATCTCGCTTCTCCTCTCTCAAAACGCTGCTCTCCTATTGGCCAGTGCTCTTACATGCTGTGAGCCAATGGCAGGCCTCGGTTCTGCTTCTCAAATTGCTGATTGGAGAGTCATCCTTAATGTGTATCGTCAGTTTTTATAGAGAGAAGTGTGTTTCTGCACTGTGGAATGAATGGACACGTAGTGTAATATCATGATATTTTTATTTAACCTTTATTTACCAAGGCAAGTCAGTTAAGAACACATTCTTATTTACAATGATGGCCTACCAAGAGACAAAAGGCCTCCTGCAGGGATGGGAGCTGGGATTAAAAATAAAAATATAGGAAGAAACACACATCACGACAAGAATGATGCAGGAAGTGGAATGAAGGGACACGTAGTGGAATATCATGATGCAGAAAGTAGATTTCTTCCCTGTCCGCTGAGCTGCTCAGAGCCCCTCAATCCCCCCTAACGGTCTGTCTGTGTCTGTCTGTCCGTCCGTCTGTCTGTTTCAATGTCTTTGTCATGAACTAACATCCATCATTACTGTTCCTTCATGTTGTGTGTAGGAGTGGTATGCATGTGTCTAACTGCATGCTTTGTGTGTGTGTGTGCGTGCGAGTGTGTGTGTTGACCATGCGTTGTGTGTTCCAGCCGTTCCTCTGCATGACGTAAAGCGCATGGCGTGGAACAGCTCTGATCAAGGCTCCAACCCCGAGTCGGAGCATGCTCAGTCTGCTCTGCCCGCCGCTCCACTAGGGAGCAACAGTGTCCCTGTAACAGCCAATACCACCACACTGCACAGTAAGAACACACACACACACACAGATATGCACACCACATAGTAAGAGAATACACACACACATGACAGAGTTGAAAGAGGAAAGAGAAAGAGAGAGGGAGGAAAGAGACAGTACAGCTACAGTGGAGGGTAAGATGTAAAGTCATTTAGTTCCTATTTAGCTAGATCGCTGAACTTCCCTCTCTCTCTCTAGCTCGTAAGCAGGAGATCATCAAGATAACTGAACAGCTGATCGAAGCCGTGAACAATGGAGACTTTGAGGCCTACACGTGAGTACAGCTACATCATTTCACACGTCTGATTACTGAATTACTAACATTAACCTAATGTTGTCTCTCTCTCTCCTCTTTTCTCTATGTTCTTAATCTCAATCTATCTTGATCTACATGAGCTCGTATAATATATAGGTTTTATACTCTCTCTCTTAATATTCTCACTTGTCTATATCTGTCTGTTATTCTATCTTCTAGTATATTATCTACTTTAGTCTGCTATCTCTACTCGGGAGATGATAATTATTCGAGCTACTTTCATCTTCTATCCTCTCTGTCTCTTCTCTCTCTCTCTGTCTCTTCTCTCTCTCTCTCTCTCTTCTCTCTCTTCTCTCCTCTCTCCTTCTCTCTCTCTCTGTCTCTCCTCTCTCTCTGTCTCTCCTCTCTCTCTGTCTCTCCTCTCTCTCTGTCTCTTCTCTCTCTCTGTCTCTTCTCACCCCATCAGGAGGATCTGTGATCCAGGTCTGACCTCCTTTGAGCCTGAAGCTCTGGGGAACCTGGTGGAGGGCATGGACTTCCACAAGTTCTACTTTGAAAACCGTGAGTCTCTTTCGCTATTTCACATGCATGCACACACACTTACAAACCTACAACTAATTAGTTCAGCAGTGATCCAAACATGTTTTATGTGTGTGTTCCTACAGTGCTGAGTAAGAACAGTAAGCCGGTCCACACCACCCTGCTGAACCCCCACGTTCACCTGATTGGAGAGGAGGCTGCCTGCATCGCCTACATCCGCCTTACGCAATTCGTCGATGGCCAGGGCCGCCCCCGCTCCAGCCAATCGGAGGAGACCAGGGTGTGGCATCGCCGCGACAGCAAGTGGCTGAACGTCCACTTCCACTGCTCTGGGGCTCCGGCCGCACCACTGCAGTGATCTGGTACTTACCAACACCCAGATATACACACACACACACAGTCTTGTTTAACTAACCTTGTGGGGACACACAATTGATTCCCATTCAAAATCGTATATATTACCGAACCTTAACCCCAAAACCTAAGCCTAACCTTTAACCCTAATTCTATCCCTAACACTAATTCTAACCTGAACACTAAATCCCCTAGAAATAGCATTAACAAAATGTCTCCAGTTGGTAACATTTTTGTTGGTTTCTTATTGTTGTGGGGACTTCTGGTCCCTACAAGTATAGTTAAACACACCCACACACACACACTTTTTAGAACTTTCAAAGGATTAAAGGTTTGCTCCCATTCGCTCTCTCTCTCTTTCGATCTCTCTCAGGTGTCCAAACACTCCAGTTGGAGTGTGAGTTTTGGGGCGTGTTTTCGGCTAGTGTGTTTTGGGGGCGTGTCCTCTTTGTGGATTGGCCCATGCCAGGAGCCCAGCCGGGCAAGACTGCACCCTCTCGACAACACCAACCAATCCCGTCTATCCTTTGATCCGCTGGGGGCCGGCCGCGTGTGGACTCCGCCCCTGTGGGATGATGCATGCATCTGACGCCCAATAGGAGGGCTTGTCCTTTGACCTCTGACCCCTCCCACCCGGCAGCCATTTTGTCTCCCGTCCATGGCAGCCATTTTGAGATGATGAGAGGAGCGGGGAGGAAGGGTTAATGAACTTGTGATGACAATTATGAGAATGAGTTCTAAGTATACAGGATAATATATGACTAGTACCAGACAACACCCAACCCTAACAAGCATTTATATATAGAATGAGAGGAGAATGTGTGATTGTAGGAGATGACATGTGGGAAAAGTTTTATCTCCGGGGCAGGATTTTCTCTGTTTCCCGGAGAATGTAAATGGAGAATTCCCTAGCAGAATTCTATACGGAAGGACAGTCGGTTCAATCAGAAAGATGTAATAAGTTGATGCGAGGAAAAACTTGATATCAAAAAGTGACGCACCAAAGTGTAGAACTTTAGGCTTTTTATGCGTTTCTGTGTTGTTGCTGTTTTTGTTGGTTTGTTTTTTGAGAGAAGGGAAGGTAGGGGGGTGCATTCGAGCGTTTTTGTTTCTGTTGTGTTTTTAACCTTGTGTTTACGGTGCGTTTCTGTGGATTGTGTCTGACTGAGTCTGTTTGAGACAAATTGTAAGTGACCGAGTTTTAAAAAGGGGTTTTATTGTAAAAGTGAAGCTGCAGTGTGTACAGCCTGTCTGTCTGTTTTATCTGTCTGCAATGGGAGAGAGGGACTTTTGGGGAGAGAGGGAATTTTGGGAAAAAGCGTCTGCATTTTGCATGTTTTCCCTCCTCTCTCTCCCCCTTTTCTCACCCCTCCCCTCTCTGTTTCACTCTCCCACCCTCTGGCTGTGTTTTAGATGGTGTGTGTGTATAAATGTGTATATATATGTATCTAAGTCTAAGAGACTCTCATTCAGAGTGCATGACAAAGTGGTGGAGACTGTCTGGCCACACACACACACACACACACACACACACACACACACACACACACACTGTACATACATACACTGTACATACATACACACACAAAAGGGGTGGACACCATCTGGCCACACCCACCCACCAACTGTAGTCCCATGGCCATGTTCCTGACTCCAATTGACCTCTAACGTCTACATGTGGTTGACACAGTATGATGTCATGATGATCAACACCCCCCAGCCCGCCCGCACGCCAAAACATGCACACCTCCCTCCAAAATTCTTATTCTAGCCCCATGTCCTGAGCCACCAGTCTCACACATTCTGTGTAAATGCATATCGTGAACACACTTGCCCACACCCACACACACTCTGTGGTGTGTCAGGCTTTGTCACATATCTTCACCGCTGCACTGTGTCCATGGTGAAACCCTGCTAGTGTTTGTCACATTTTCATCTGTTCTTAGTGCGGTGTCCCTCCATTAGTAACGGTGTCCCTCCATTAGTAACGGTGTCCCTCCAATAGTAACGGTGTCCCTCTACCCCCCCCCCCCCCCCCCCCCCCCCCCCCATTTGTAGTGCGGTGTCTGTTTCTCTGTTTGAATGTGTCTCTGTGTGTATATGCGTGTGTCTCTGTTTCCTGGTTTGGGTTTTGTTGACAATGTTTTTTTTTACTGTTTGCTGTTTGGAAAGTTCTGCACTCTATACACACACACACACACACACACACACACACACACACACACACACACACACACACACACACACACACACTAAAGTTAAGCCAACTATTAAACTGATCAGACTAGCTGGTTATAATATAACAGGGAAGGAAGGGACTGAATCCAGATCAGTTGTTGAGGATAGAAATCTGTTCACACACGCACACACACACACACACACACGGGAAAAAGGGAATAGCGGGTGAACGAGGAGACATCATTTTTATTGATTAACAGTAAATGTATTCATTTAATTTCACTCCCTCAGTGGTATTTTAGTCCTTATATTGCCCATTCAGGTGAGAGAAGAGCGTTCGAGAGACTGTTCAGAGATCAGATAATTATTTATGGAATTAAACCAGAGAGAGATGTATGCATGCTTCAGTTTAAGCATCTCCACCATGTACCTACCTGAGCTAGGGCGGAGGATAGGGTTTCTAATAACTATATATCATATTTGCATCTTTTGAAATAAAAATTCAAAACCCGCCTCCGTCCAGAATATTGAATAGGTGACATGAGATAATAAAAAACATACAAAAACACAAAAAATACTATTTAATTATAAAAAGGATTGCGGAGCCTTAGCTTGGTATGAAGCTCATTGTTAGTACTCTCCCTGCGTTGTGACGTTAACCTGTCGGGCTGCGCTTTCTTTCCCCAACAGTCGTTGGATGCTGGAGTTTTTTTTTGCATGATCATGATGTACGGTAAAATAAAACCATGAATTGAGGACGATCACGTGTTTGTCTGAATGTTAGTAGGTCCTTTATCATAGCTTTGTTATTCAACTTGGATCTTGAAAGTATTTAATAAAAATAATATTTCAGCACCGGTTTGTCTCTCTCTCTTTTCATGTCAAAAACTAAAATTAACCAATGTCCCGCTAGCACTTAAAATGCATGTCCTGTACATTGCTTCCAGTGGGCCGCGACTGAGGACAACCTGGCCTGACACCTGGATGTGCCTGGCTCAATCCCACCATAGGAGGCTGGTGGGAGGAACAATAGGAGGATGGGCTCATTATAATGGATGGAATTGAATAAATGGAACTGAGTCAAACGTGGTTTCCGTATGTTTGATGTGTTTGATACCGTTCCACTTATTCCATTGCAATGAGCCCGTCCTCCTATAGCTCCTCCCACCAACCTCCACTGATTGCTTCATACTAATGATACAATAACGTGCTGTCTGATTAACATGGTTATACTGTGCTACTGTAACTGAATCTATTGTGTCTGCCTTTAAGATTTCCAGTCCTGTTGTGTTCTCATTAAAGGTGACACTGCAGTCTTAAATAGTCTGCATCTATATAGGGCAGTATTGTAACCTTATTTAAGGCGGACTGTGTACGCCTGTGTGTGTCAGATGTAGGGCAAGTCTCTTGGTCCCTGTCTTCTGTGATTAATGAGGACACTGCTGCAGGTCAGCTTCTACACACACACACACACAATATCCACCACCGCCACACACATTCATGAACACACACACACACACACTAGTACTGACTCACACATTCACTGACCTACCGTCACCTTTCCAGCATGCTGTCCGTCTCCATCTCTCTGGCCATCTGTCTCTCTCTCTCTCTCTCTCTCTCTCTCGTTCTCTGCCCATTTTGTCTTCTCAAAGGTTACAGACATCATCTTGACCTTGACTCATTCTCAAGTCTTTCTACAATTCCTTGTTTCTCTCCCATCTTCTGCCCACCTCCTCAAAATGTCAGAGGGATGCGATCCTCCTCCAATCTTGTTACTTAGGGCTTGATTCAATCCATATCGTGTAACTTCAGCGCTATAGCACATTTGAAATTTAAAGGCAATGTTCCCGCGTTCATGGAGACTGCATTCACGTTAAATGCTGCATACAGTGCATTCGGAAAGTATTCAGACCCCTTGACTTTTTCCACTTTGTTATGTTACAGCCTTATTTTCAAATTGATTAAATTGTTGTTTTTTTCTCATCAATCTACACACAATACCCCACAATGACAAAGCAAAAACAGGTTTTTAGACATTTCTGCAAATGTATTAAAAATTCAAAGCGAAAATATCACATTTACATAAGTATTCAGACCCTTTACTCAGTACTTTGTTGAAACACCTTTGGCAGTGATTACAGCCTGAAGTCTTCTTGGATTTGACTCTACAAGCTTGGCACACCTGTATTTGGGGAGTTTATCCCATTCTTCTCTGCAGATCCTCTCAAGCTCTGTCAGGTTGGATGGGAAGCGTCGCTGCACTGCTATTTTCAGGTCTCTCCAGAGATGTTCGATCGGGTTCAAGTCTGGGCTCTGGCTGGGCCACTCAAGGACAATCAGACACTTGTCCCGAAGCCACTTCTGTGTTGTCTTGGCTGTGTGCTTAGGGTCGTTGTCCTGTTGGAAGGTGAACCTTCACCCCAGTCTGAGGTCCTGAGCCATCTGGAGCAGGTTTTCATCAAGGATCTGTCTGTACTTTGCTCCTTTCATCTTTGCCTCGATCCTGACTAGTCTCCCAGTCTCTGCCGCTGAAAAACATCCCCACAGCATGATGCTGCCCCCACCATGCTTCACCGTAGGGATGGTGCAAGGTTTCCTCCAGACGTGACGCTTGGTATTCAGGCCAAAGAGTTCAATCTTGGTTTCATCAGACCAGAGAACTTGTTTCTCATGGTCTGAGAGTTCTTTAGGTGCCTTTTGACAAACTCCAAGCCGGCTGTCATGTGCCTTTTACTGAGGAGTGACTTCCGTCTGGCCACTCTACCATAAAGGCCTTTTGGTGGAGTGCTGCAGAGATGGTTGTCCTTCTGGAAGGTTCTCCCATCTAATTTACATTTACATTTTAGTCATTTAGCAGATGCTCTTATCCAGAGCGGCTTACAGTTAGTGAGTGCATACATTTTCATACTGGCCCCCCGTGAGAAACGCACCCACAACCCTGGCGTTGCAAGCGCCATGCTCTACCAACTGAGCTACAGGGGACTCTGGATCTCTGTCAGAGTGACTATCGGGTTCTTGGTCACCTCCCTGACCAAGGCCCTTCTCCCCCGGTTGCTCAGTTTGGCCGGGCGGCCAGCTCTAGGAAGAGTCTTGGTGGTTCCAAACTTCTTCCATTGAAGAATGATGGAGGCCACTGTGTTCTTGGGAACCTTCAATGCTGCTGAAATGTTTTGGTATCCTTCGACAGAACTGTGCCTCGACACAATCCTGTCTCGGAGCTCTACGGACAATTCCTTCGACCTCATGGCTTGGTTTTTGCTCTGACATGCACTGTCAACTGTGGGACCTTATCTAGACAGGTGTGAGCCTTTCCAAATCATGTCCAATCTATTGAATTTACCACAGGTGTACTCCAATCAAGTTGTAGAAACATCTCAAGGATGATCAATGGAAACAGGATGCACCTGAACTCAATTTCGAGTCTCATAGCAAAGGATCTGAATACTTATGTAAATAAGGTATTTCTGTTTTTCATTTTTAATACATTTGCTAAAATTTCAAAAAAATCTGTTTTCGCTTTGTCATTATGGGGTATTGTGTGTAGATTGAGGGGAAAAAAATATTTGGAGAAAGAGAAGGGGTCTGAATACTTTCCGAATGCACTGTATGTCTGATCAATCGGAAATTACCTTTACATTTCAATCGCGCTATAGTACAGAATTTCCGCGATACGGATTGAATTGAGCCCTAAACCTACCTCTGACATTTTGAGACGGATGTGAGGAGAGGGGAAACAAGAAAAACGCGCTTGGACGTCCTCGAATATTCTCCTCGCTTCCCTTTGATAGGTTGAGAAAGAGGCAGCCAGGGAGAGGACGAGGAATTTAAGGAAAGACTATCGAGAATTACCCCTGGTCGCCACCGGAATCTTAAGTCGTATATTGCCATTGTACCACATGGTCTGGTGCCCTGGGCTAAGACGCAGCACTGAAGGAGAAACGCTGGAGAACCCTTTTATCTGAGGCCACAAGGTGGCATTAGAACTTCATGTAGTACAACAGATCAGCGTCAATAGACACAGAAACCTGTTATTTCTGTCAGATTAGTGATGTATGATTCTGTAGCATTAGATAACGCATTGAGACCAGTCACCTCATTCGTTCTTACAGTTTAGTAAAGTATTTATTCCGTTTAACATTGACATTAGATTACAAACAGTTGTATTCATCATACAAGTATACCAAAGTATACCATGCCCTTCCATCAGAGCAGTTAGACATCACCTTGATATACTGTACATAGCTAGGCAAACAGAACATAATGTATGAGGAACATTTTCAGGTCTCTCAACAAGTGTAAGTGGCTCACGTGGGGGCAATGCATTTTGATCTTTATTTAACCTGATTTCAAAGAATGGATAGAGTTTCTCAGTGAAGGTGTAGCCAATGAAAGAGTAGATATGAGACCTGGCCTTCACATATAAGGAGACCCGACCCGCCTCATAATCCACAAACACCCCCACTTTCTGGGGCTTCGCCAAGAGGAGATTGACACGAGAAGAGAAAAAGTCGGTGGTTGTATTCGCAAAAAACTTTTATTAAAGCGTTTCCACTGCCATTTCTCGCATAATTAATTTTACCAATACAAAAAGATCCCACCTTGTCTAGCGTATTTTGTTTTGTCGACATATGGAAAGTTTACTGACCATTTTGCTGTTTCCATCAAGCCGGGCTTGACATTTTTTTTTATCCAACATGTACTTTACTCGCATAAAAAGTTTGGATGGAAACCTGGTTATTGAGATGTTTCGCTTAAAACTCAAAAATGGCCTGGAATAATATTCAAAATTCTAATTATTTTGGTTGGCGGCAATGATTCTCGTTTATTGTGTAATTTATCCCACCTGTGCTAAATTGCAGGTGCCTACAGGGTAGAAAATAGCCATGCAACCAGTTTTGAGAAGAATACAACACATCTGTATAGTTAGTTAGTACGTAGCTAGCCCAATAATGGACTAAAGGAGACCAACGTTACTCCTTAGTCCAAGGACCTTACATGTTCTGTTTAAAGGGATAATTGACTCTGGAAGACAAAACAGCCAAATACTCTGTCTAAACGTGAATCGATTCTCAATTCCGTTGTGGTTCTAGAAACATAAATCCCTCTACTTTCATATCACATGAAACAAATTTCACAAATGTAAGATACACACTGGAATAGAATAACAGTCAAATGTGTGGTTTCCATATGTTCCATTCCAGCTATTACAATGAGCCCATCCTCCAACCAGCCTCCACTGCTGTACACTGTTTTAACACAGTTGCAGCCCACAGGATTTTTCAGTGACAACACGTTTCCGGTGTCCATCTTCCATTTACACACAGGTGTTTGGAGATGCAGATAGCTAATTAGCACAGGTAGTCCGCTCTATCTTCCCGTGAGCAAGCGCTGTAACATGGGAACCCAAAGCCTATAAAGGAGTGTATCAATTTAACCTTTTGTTTTTTGAAAATTATTTATTGCCGATTATGAAAGATAAGGTCCTTATGCTTCCAAAACGGCACAGCAAGCAATGTGTGTTAATGTTCAGACCGAGCATCGGAGCTCTTAACAAAACTCCCCCCAGAAGAAGCCTTCATCCAATGACTCTTACTTGTAATGTAATGGAACTGAGAGTTATGACCAAGGGCTAGCTGGTAACTTTTTGAGGGACCCAACCAAATTCACACAGAAATGCGAGTTATAGATTTGTCCTTCTCATTGAAAGCAACTATTAGAGGTGGTAAATCTGTTCTATATGTGCTATTTCTATGCTTCCCGTTCTTAAGTTAAGTTTTTGTATCGTTTACTTTCAATTTTGTACACCAGCTTCAAACAGCTGAAAAATATATTTCACAGCGTTTTAGATGGTACAATGATTCTCTACACTCTGAGTGCTTGTTTTGTCACGTCAACTAAAATTAGGCAAATATTCGAATTTGAGCAACCAGGAAATGGCGGAGCGATTTCTGAGTATTGTGCTTTAATCAACGTCTAGGCCTAAACACCACACATTTAGTACTTTAGCAAACTTAGAGGTTCTTATCCAAACAGATTTATAACGAGTGCGTTAAACTAAAGTAGCACAATCAGGTCTCTGTATCCACCTCAATTTGTGGGGTTTTCCTGTTAGTTGGGGACATCCAGCTGTGTAGCCATCTTGTGAACTTTCCCGCTCTTTTGTTTACATTCAGCCGAGCATTGAGCAAGGAGAGGCTTCATTCAACTCCCTGTTGTGCTCTCTGATATATATCGCCTACCAGTGGTTGTTATGATGTAACTACAGCTGTTAGAAATGACGCTCACTTACTGTTCTCATCAAGCAGCTGTAATACTTCACTATAAAGAACAGACGACAAATACACGTTTCTTTGGCTATGTTATGAAGACCAGACCATAGAGACCAACACTAGACCTGTTCTATTTAATAGTCCACCATGTTTCAGTACAGAGACAGACAATTGAGAGGAACACACAGATGGCTGTAAGACAGTTTTACATTTCTACTGGGTCAGACTCTTCACAGCTTCAAACAGAGACATGGTGAACCCTCTGACTGGAATTCAATAAAACCCACAAAAGCATTGTTTACGCAGTGTCTGTGTTAACAAACTACTACTGCCTATGTACACACACGCACACAGACACACACTGCGTACATTATACAATGTGAGTTTGGTGGAATATGTCCAGCTATGGAAATATTTACATTGATTTAGGACTCTAATCAATCTGCATCGCTGAAGAGTTACAGTAGAAATGTAAAGGTAATGTCCGATTGAGCCGACATATGCAGCGTTTACCATGAATGCAGTTTCCACTAACGCGGGAATATTGCCCTTACATTTCAATCACGCTGTAACGCTGAACTTCCGCAATACAGATTTAATAGAGGCCTTAGTATGACTCTCTGGACAGTTTTACTCAAACATCAAGTCACAAGGAGGAGTTTAATTTAATGATTATACAGTAGAAACCACATCATGTTACTGGATAGATAGGATTTAAAAAAAGTAATAGAAGCATTTCCTGTTTGAGAGAAACAATTAGTTATGGAATACAAGATGCTTCACAACACCAGGGCACAGCACACGATTGAGCACAAGTTAGAAACAAAAAAACGATCATCAGTGCCATATTGTATATGGAGCTGGTAGAAGTTTCCCCTAACCACTGGTCCTGGGTCAGATCTTTTTGTATCCTCCCCACAGGAGGTTGGTGGCACCTTAATTGGGGAGGACGGGCTCGTGGTAATGGTTGGAGCGGAATAAGTGGAATGGTATCAAATACATCATACCATTTGGAGTTGGCTAATCTGATCCTAGATCTCAGGGTTAGGGGCAACTTCTCACTCAAGCTGATGATAAATGTTGCCTCTGAATATATGACAACATCACCATCTACTACTGAGGTCAGAGAAAAGTGAGAGGAATATTCAACTACAGGAAGTCTAGCTGTTTGGCAATCAGACGTTAATGAATGCAACACATGAACAATCAAAAGTATTTACACACAATGTTAACTACTAGAGCCATTCAGGGAGATCAGTAGAAAAAGATAAATATGATCCATCCCTTGGCTTTCCATGGCTTTGACAGGAGTGAGAAAAATAGAATAGCATAGAATATCATTTTATTGTCTTTTTTGTGACGTTGCAATGCCGTTGACAGGGTATGCCACGGTGCAGAATCCCTGGAGCAATTTGTTGGAGCAGTAGAGTGTCTTGCTGTAGGGCACAACAGCAGATGGTAGCCGGGAACCGACACCAACATCCTCAGGTTAGTGGCCTACACCTCAAGGCTAACTGCCGCAGCCAAAAGAGTCCAGTTTATTTGAAATGAGAGGGAAGAGCTGTCCAGTTCACATTTGAAAGAAGAGAAAGTCCCGTCCAAGGTAGAGTAGATCACATTTTCAGGAATACAAATGTCAGTATTAGATATTCGAGAACAGCTTTTGAACAACAGCTTACATATTTTTTTTACCACTGGTTAAGGAATAACAGATCATTCTGGACAGACGTCACATTCAAATAGGGCATCACAAGAAACCCAACCCCACTGTCAGAGAAAATACTACCTAACACATGTCTGGCTACACATTATCACTACAGCACCTCCCATCCCACACACAGATGATACATACAGCTCTGCCACCCATACATGCATGCACACACCCCACAGCTAGCGTAATACACACACATACACATGCACATACACAAGTTTGCATGGTCTGGGTCAGGGGGCAGAGGGGGAGAGGAGGATCTCTTCTTTCTCTTCTCTTGTTGTATCTTTCCTCTTTCTCTCCCTCCTTTTCCAACATGTCCTCCTCCTGTTCCTCCATCATCTATCCTTCCTCCTCTTCCTCTGACAGTCGCATGACACGGCCGGTGAGCCAATGGCGTGTCCTGGTTCAGACGAGCGTGTGTGTGTGTGTTTATTGTGAGTGTGTGTATGCTTATTTTGTGTGTGCCCATTGTGATCGTGTGTGTGTGTGTATATTGTTGTGCTGATCGTGTGTGTGTATGAATTCATCATCAGTGTGTTTGTTTCAACTCGTCATGATCGTGTGTGTGTGTGACCTCCTCGATCCAGCCCTGGAACCGTCCGACCCGTGTGTAGAGGGCGGGGGTTGAGGGGTCACTGCAACCATAACCCCCGGAGACGATCCCGGTCAAAACCCATCGCCCTCCCTTCCCCTGGCACACCAGCCCACCGCCCCAGTTGCCCTGGCAACCATTGTTCCCGTGGAGACGGCGTGTGTCAGGGGGGCTGCCGGCGCACAGCGTGCCATGGGAGGAGTAACCATCGCCATAATGCTTCTTACACTGCCATGACGTCAGGAGGGGTACCCAGGACTGGAGCACAGCATCTAAGGGGGAAGAGGGCATGTACAGTAGGGAGAAATACGTTTCTAACGTGTCGGCAATGCTAAACCACAAATCCTCAGAGGTTGTAGTTGAGAGGTAGTGGAAGGTGAGGCGTACCTGGGCCGTCCCAGCCTGCGGTAACCGCGGCAATGCAGGAGGAGGGGGTCTTGCCCCTTGTAGTGTCTGTGGTGGGGAGGCAGGCGGCGTTGGTGTGGTGAGCAAAGGTCAAACAGTGATCCTTGGGGCTGGGCAGCCTCAGCAGGGCCAGGTCATGACCCCCAGGGCCCTGATCTGCCCTGAACTTTCTGTGGACCACCACTCGCTCCGGGGTCAGAATTCGGTCAGAACCCCCCACACGCACCACATACTGAGACGGGCCAATACCAAACCTGGAGGATGGAGAGGGAGAGGGGGGAGAGAGAGAGAAAGAGAGAGAGAGAGGGGTAGCGATAAAGTGTTTGGAAAGGGGGACAGAAAATTGGATGGAAAGAAATGAAGGCAGAAAAAGAAGACGTGAGCACTGAAAATAGAAAAAAACGAGTGACTAAACAAATGTTAGGAAACGAGAGGAGAGGAGAGGAGAGGAGAGGAGAGGAGAGGAGAGGAGAAGTCACCTGGTGAAGCAGTGAGCGGAGGCCAGGGCCCAGCACGGAGAGATCAAAGTACCACTACAGATAGGATGGCCATCTTTACCCTCAGAACCCAACCACACTGACACCTGCCATGGCCATGATGTCCTAGAGGAGAGGGGGAGGGAGGAGAGGAGAGGGGGGGAGAGGAGAGGGGTTTAGTGTGTGTGTGTTAACCTGTGTCTTCTCATGAGTCATGTGTGATTCTCTGTGTATCTACGCTGTACGTAAAGCTTCTCTTACCGGAGTATATTCTCTCCTCCTCCTCCACTCTTCCTCTCGTTCCCTTCCTCCCAAATCTTCCTCACTCCACAGGTGTGCTCACTTGGCCCAGCCTGGCCCTCTGTTGCCCGGGGGGCGTGGTCACAGCTCACCCCTGCATCCTCTCTCCGTCTGCAGCCGTCACGGCCCCGGCCCAGAGACGGACACTCCCCCAGGAAGTCCTCCTTCCCCGTACACCTCACCTGGTCCAGGTGGACAGGACCCTTCCCCCGACCGAACCCACCCGCTGCTACCGCATGACCACTGAGGGAGAAGGAGAGGAGGAGGGGGAGAAGAGGAGAAGGGGGAAGAGTGGGAGGGTGAAAGACTGAGATAAAGAGAGAGATAAAAAATGCTGGATTGACTGAAGCTACAACACTCTTCTACACAAAGGTCTGTGAACACACACACACACACACACACACACACACACACACACACACACACCTGTGGCCCAGCTGTCTGCAGACCACGGCAGCGTTCAGGTCATTCCAGCCCGAGTCACAGATACTCCCCCAGTCTCCATGGAGATAAACCTCCGCACGACCTTCCTTATGGCTGCCGCCCCCTACCAGACGCACCAGAGGACCTGCAACACAAACATACTTGTAAAAGCTAATAAAAAGGCCTCACGGTTGTTTGGCCAAATTGCTGTCGGAGTAAGGCTCACCTGTGGCAGGTGCAACAGCCGGCACCTCATTGGTCTGTTCCTCTTTAGCTCTGGCCCTGCATCGCACGCCCACGTCCTCTCCATGGGAACAGTCGCTACGGCCCCAGATGCCATGGCGACAGTCCAGCAGGGATGACTCCGTCCCCTCACAACGCACATCGTCCAATAGGATGATTCCAGAACCCTCGCCGAATGTTCCGTCAGTCACCACCTCAGCATATCCCCTAGAGGTAGAACACGAAATTACATCAACTTAAAAGGTACAATGTGGTAGTTGTTGATGTCTAAAGCTCTGCTGGGCCCCTTGTAGCTCGGTAGAGCATGGCGCTTGCAACGCCAGGGTTGTGGGTTCGATTCCCACGGGGGGCCAGTATGAAAAAATAAATAATGTATGCACTCACTAACTGTAAGTCGCTCTGGATAAGAGCGTCTGCTAAATTACTAAAAATGTAAAACATTTTATGATGATGTCATATTACTGAGTCTACATTTAAACAGTGGGGCGGGCTTTCTGGTTACAGGAATCATCAACAAGACTCTTCCTAGTGTAATCACTAGGGCTGTGGCGGTCATGAAATTTTGTCAGCCGGTTATTGTCATGCAAAATACTGCCGGTCTAACGGTAAATTACCATTAATTAACATAAACCGTTAAGCGCCTCCATGCATACAAGCCGCTGATGCACACCTTTCGAACATTTACATTTAAAAAAGTTGAATAAATAAATGTAATATACACCATCACAATAAATCCATTATTTATTTTAGTCAGGTCTAAAGAAACATGATATGAAGAAAATGTATTTCAGAAGAACAGAATATGAGTTGGCCTACTGTATGTTATCTGGCTATGCTCCATGCCATAGGCTATAGGCTTGTTCATTTACCAGACAAGATATGCTTAAGTCCCGTGCCATTATTTAATATTATATGATTTTATAGTAAGAAGAATTTAATTGAACTTACATAAAACATTTATTTTTCCCATTTCGGAGCAGAGTGAGCATATGAAGTGGCCATGTTGAGCGTAAATGTGACCATTTGAAACAGGTCCTGTACGCTAGATTTAGAGTTATTTGGCAACTTTAGTTGTGAATGATACAAACCTTAGAATGTCTTAGAAATCAAAACATATATGGGCTGCATGATGCGACTATAGGCTACTGATGATTTGAGAAAGTAGCAATAAAAGGTTGGCCTCTGTTCCTTGCCTCAGGCTATACACGCTGTTCTGTCATCAAATGACCATATTTTCACTATTCTCAATTTAATCTTGTCTTTATTAATATGTAAAATTTGTTTCGTTTGAGAATGGCCCATTATCAAACGCGCAGGAACAGGGGCAGGGGCAGGGGAAAAAATACATGCACTCGAATAGCGAATGGAGGCCGCTTTCCTGCCGGTTCAATACTCTGGTTATTTCACTCCACGCATCATCCACTGTTTGAGGAGCCTCTCGCTGCGTGACAGGTGATATTCCACCCAAACTCTGTGTGCCGTGGGCTCTCTAACCATGTTCCTGCAGCTACCCAGTGCTTAATTTCGGAAACCAAGTGAAATCTGTTCGAGAACATCAATAGTAACATGTTTTCACAACTAAACATATTTCATTAAACTGTTGACAGCCCCGCTCTCTGCACACTAGAGAAAGGAATGAAGGAGAAAGAGGAGGAGATGGAAACGCAGTGGTGAGATATTCTGTAGCTAAAAGGTAATGTCAGCCTATTAATTATGAAAATATAAAAAATGACCTATTACTAGGCTATTCAAAATCAAATACAAATTCACTGTAATTGTAGGCTTGGCCTCCCTGCACAATCAATGAACCAACAGCATTGGCTAGGCCTCTCCGTTCTCTCCCAGACTCATGGATAGAAAGTTTAGAGCGTAGCATAAGGTAACCAGTCCATCCAGAATGTATAATAATACAGTCCACACTCAAAGGCAATTACTAGAATTTGTTTAATTTAGGAGTATAGGCTAGACCAATTATGTACCAAATACAATTTTTTTTAAAATGTTTTTCTGCCGTGCGTAATATGCTGTAGGATATGTATTGTATAACAGCACAATAATTATTTTAATTCAGGTTTTGTTTTTGGGCTTGGGTTCATATATAGGCCTACGGGTATGCATAAGCTCTAATATGTGTATGGGTGTTTTTTAATTTTGGGTATTTGGTATTTTATTAGGATCCACATTAGCTGTTGCGAAAGCAGCAGCTATTTTTCCTGGGGTCCATTAATCATTAGTCCATTAATCCATTAATCATCACCTTAGAAAGCGCTGTCCATTTCGTTGTGGTAGATTGTGAAACAACATCCACAACAACCATGTTTTCCACTCAGTTTCAACCTGTTGTTCTTCAAATAGATCAAAGCGTGGTGAGTTTTAAAAGCACGATACTGTTTTGAATAAGTGTTTGATGTGATTTTCGATGGCATTTGCATTGACGTCAGAGTGGTTAGAGGGACAATAGAGCCCTGACTACCAGGCCATTAGCGACCTGATGATCGTTAGGGAGTTGGGTACTACCAACGCATGTCCAGAGTGAATAAGAGGAGATTACCGTGACTCAACGGTCATGGACTCATGACTCATGACTGCCGGTGTGGCGGTAACACAGTCACCGCAACAGCCCATATCATGCCTGCAGAGGAAGGTACACTCACACACCTGTATCCGAGCTGTCGACAGACCACCTGTGTGTGTTGTTGAGTCCAGTGGTTGTCACACACAGTACCCCAGTCCCCAGAGTGGAACACTTCAACACGACCCTCCCATGGACCGTCTCCTCCTACCAACCGCACCACACCGTCTGGAACACACAGATACACACTTTAGATCATATGTGTGCACGTTATATCTGTTTTTGGGATGTGTGTTTGTTGTGTGTGTGTGCGTGAAATATGTGTGTGTACCTGTGTAGGGACTGCAGGACACCCCCGCGTCTTCCATATGGTCACAGTTGTGTTGTTCCCAGTCTCCATGAAGACACTGGTCCAGGAAGAGTTCATTTCCTGTACACCTCACAGCGTCCAATAGGATGGGACCTGAGCCCTGTCCGAAGTGGGCCCACGACCAGGCCTTCGCCACACCCCTAAACACACACATGGGTCAAAACAACAATAATGACTTCCTCTAGCTACAAGATATTTACTCCTACAGAGTCTCTCTCACCCGAAGCCCAGCTGTCGACAGACCACCTCTGCATCTCTGTCGTCCCATTGGTCATCGCAGACAGAGCCCCACCTACCGCCGTGGAAAACCTCCACACGCCCCTCAAAGTCTTCTTCTCCTCCAACCAATCGTAGAGGAGGACCACTGCCTGTGGGAGAAAACAATGTCCCGATATCGATGCTGATTATTTATTTATATGAGGCACTTTGTTTCCTTCTCTCTAGCTTTCTACTGACCTTCTGGTGGAGCACACACAACTCCCGCCTCGTTTCCGTGGCTACAGTCCCCCGTAACGAATGTCCTGCTCTGGCATTGGCTGACAGAGCTCTCATCACCACGGCAACCCAGCCGCTCGTAATGGCAAAGGCCGGTGCCCGAGCCGAACCTGGAGTGCTGCAACGCAGTACCGATCTCACTGAGGACACACACACACACACACACACACACGGTCTTACAGTTGAAACGGAAATGCTGCGATGCTACAATTCCGATCGCAATGAGGAGGCACACACACAAACATACACACTCCTACATCTCTCTTACCCCAGCCCCAGCTGTCTGCAGATCACACTTGCATCTCTGTCTGTCCAATGAGAGTCACACACCGCCCCCCACTGGCCATTCAGATACACCTCCACACGTCCACTTTCTGACGATGTCCCGCCCACCAGCCGAGCTGCACCTAGGAGAGGGAGAGAAGGACAGGTACATCAGCCAATCAATAGTCTGGAAGAACTACAGAGTAGATACTGTGTACACAGCAGAGGAGGCTGATGGGAGAAGCTATAGTACGATGGGCTCATTGTAATCGCTAGTATGGGATCAATTGAATGGTACCAAACACAGAAACAACGTGTTTGACTCCGTTCCATCAATTCCATTCCAGCCATTACAATGAGCCTGCCCCTCCTATAGCTCCTCCCACCAGCCTCCTCTGGTATACAGTATTTGCTACAGGGCTACCCTGGCAGGCGCAGAAGGCTCTGTGTATAATACTGTATTTGCTTTGTATATTGTCTATATGTATACAGACAGTATATTTGCCATAAGCCTACCCTGGTGGCAGTCGCAGTAGGCCCAGCCGATGGCCCCAGAGGTCTGTCTGAAAAAGCACCAGGGATTGGACTCTCTGTCAGGGTTCCGGCAGTAGCTGTGCTCCCCCAGGCCTCGACCAGGGTACTGCAGCATGTAGTCTGGAAACTCTGCCCACTGCAAGCAGGGGGCGCCAGAGTCCGTCTGAGACACGGAGCCATTATAGTAACCCAGCTCTGTAAAACCCTCCGAACAGGAGAGAGGGGCTGAGAGAGAGAGAGAGAGAGAGAATACTGTCATAACTATGAATCCCTCTGAAGAGAGAGACAGATGGGATGGGAGGTTTATAGCAAGAGAGGAGATAAGGAGAGGAGATAAGGAGTGAAGCATACAAGGAGAGTCAGGAGGAGTGAAAATGTCCTTATTCAAAAAGGAAAATCACCTTGGATCTTCTATATGCATGTACAGTGGCTTGTGAAAGTATTCACCCCCCATGGCATTTTTCCTATTTTGTTGCCTTACAACCTGGAATTAAATTAGATTTTTTGGGGGGGTTTGTATCATTTGATTTACACAACATGCCTACCACTTTGATGCAAAATAAAACATTTTGTGAAACAAACAAGAAATAAGACAAAAAAAATGAAAACTTGAGCCTGCATAACTATTCACCCCCCCAAAGTCAATACTTTGTAGAGCCACCTTTTGAAGCAATTACAGCTGCAAGTCTCTTGGAGTATGTCTCTATAAGCTTGGCACATCTAGCCACTGGGATTTTTGCCCATTCTTCAAGGCAAAATTGCTCCAGCTCCTTCAAGTTGGATGGGTTCCGCTGGTGTACAGCAATCTTTAAGTCATACCACAGATTCTCAATTGGATTGAGGTCTGGGCTTTGACTAGGCCATTACAAGATATTTAAATGTTTCCCCTTAAACCACTCAAGTGTTGCTTTAGCAGTATGCTTAAGGTCATTGTCCTGCTGGAAGGTGAACCTCCATCCCAGTCTCAAATCTCTGGAAGACTGAAACAGGTTTCCCTCAAGAATTTCCCTGTATTTAGCGCCATCCATCATTCCTTTAATTCTGACCAGTTTCCCAGTCCCTGCTGATGAAAAACATCCCCACAGTATGATGCTGCCACCACCATGCTTCACTGTGGGGATGGTGTTCTCGGGGTGATGAGAGGTGTTGGGTTTGCACCAGACATAGCATTATCCTTGATGGCCAAAAAGCTCAATTTCAGTCTCATCTGACCAGAGTACCTTCTTCCATAAGTTTGGGGAGTCTCCCACATGCCTTTTGGCATACACCAAAAGTGTTTGCTTATTTTTTCTTTAAGCAATGGCTTTTTTCTGGCCACTCTTCCGTAAAGCCCAGCTCTGTGTATTGTATGGCTTAAAGTAGTCCTATGGACAGATACTCCAATCTCCGCTGTGGAGCATTGCAGCTCCTTCAGGGTTATCTTTGGTCTCTATGTTGCCTCACTGATTAATGCCCTCCTTGCCTGGGCCGTGAGTTTTGGTGGGCGGCCCTCTCTTGGCAGATTTGTTGTGGTGCCATATTCTTTCAATTTTTTAATAATGGATTTAATGGTGCTCCGTGGGATGTTCAAAGTTTCTGATATTTTTTTACAACCCAACCCTGATCTGTACTTCTCCACAACTTTGTCCCTGACCTGTTTGGAGAGCTCCTTGGTCTTCATGGTGCCGCTTGCTTGGTGGTGCCCCTTGCTTAGAGGTGTTGCAGACTCTGGGGCCTTTCAGAACAGGTGTATATATACTGAGATCATGTGACAGATCATGTGACACTTAGATTGCACACAGGTGGACTTTATTTAACTAATTATGTGACTTCTGAAGGTAATTGGTTGCACCAGATCTTATTTAGGGGCTTGATAGCAAAGGGGGTGAATACATATGCACTCACCACTTTTCCGTTATTTATTTTTTAGAATTTTTTGAAACAAGTTATTTTTTTCAATTCACTTCACCAATTTTGACTATTTTGTGAATGTCCATTACATGAAATCCAAATAAAAATCAATTTAAATTACAGGTTGTAATGCAACAAAATGGGAAAAACGCCAAGGGGATGAATACTTTTGCAAGGCACCGTACAGAAAGTTACGTCCTAACACACAGTATCAAATAACACAGCAGGGGATATATAATACAGTTACTCAGCCGATCCATGTTAAAATCCCCCTAACCTCCCACTCCCACCCTTACTTAAAATGCTGGAGGCCACCCAGGAGAGGGTCTCTAAGGAGTATACACTCTGTAGTCTGAGGATCCCTTACGAGTGTACACTTTGTGCTGTAGAGGCGGAATTAGTGGAGGCTTGAACAACGAACAAGGGCTAAATGAAACTGCTGCTGACGCAAACATACTGCTGAACTACACACACACACACAGCCAAAGATAATCTCCCAGGCAGCAATTAGAGAAGTATTAAGAGAGAGAGAGAGAGGCTGAGAGAGAGAGAGCGGCAGAGAGAGATAGAGAGAGAGAGAGGCAGAGAGAAAGAGAGAGAGAGAGAGCTCAACCCAGAGTCTCTCAGAGCATTCACAGTCAGCCCACTGACACCCCTATCAGATCACAGCAAAATCACAGTCTACTTGAACAGAGCAATACTCAATCATGAGGCATCAAAGCCAAAGGAACGGCATAATATTAAGAAATGCTATAGATGGAAGGAAAGTAGTGTAGAAACCTACCGAAAAACTATTAGGCAACAACAAATTCAATCCCTTTTAGACAACTTCCTGGACAAAACGTTTCACTGTAATAGTGAAGGTGTAAACTTGGCAGTAGAAAACCTAAACAGTATATTTGACCTCTCAGCTTCCCTATCAAATCTAAAAATGTCAAGCAGACAACCTAAGAAAATTAACAACAATGACAAATGGTTTGATGAAGAATGCAAAAACCTAAGAAAGAAATTGAGAAACCTATTTCAACCAAAAACATAGAGACCCAGAAAACCTGAGCCTATGCCTTCATTATGGTGAATCACTGAAACAATACAGAAATGCACTATGGAAAAAGAAGGAACAGCATGTCAGAAATCAGCTCAATGTAATTGAAGAATCCATAGAATCTAACCACTTCTGGGAAAATTGGAACACACTAAACAAACAACAACACGAAGAGTTATCTATCCAAAATGGAGATGTATGGATAAACCACTTCTCCAATCTTTTTTACTCTATAACAAAGAACAAACAGCAAAAACATATACGTGATCAAATACAAATCTTAGAATCAACTATTAAAGACTACCAGAACCCAGTGGATTCTCCAATTACATTGAATGAACTACAGGACAAAATACAAACCCTCCAACCCAAAAAGGCCTGTGGTGTTGATGGTATCCTCAATGAAATGATAACATATACAGACCATCAATTCCAATTGGCTATACTTAAACTCTTTAACATCATCCTCAGCTCTGCTATCTTCCCCAATATTTGGAGCCAAGGTCTGATCGCCCCAATCCACAAAAGTGGAGACAAATTTGACCCCAATAACTACTGTGGTATATGCGTCAACAGCAACCTTTGGAAAATCCTCTGCATTATCATTAACAGCTGGTACATTTCCTCAGTGAAAACAATGTACTGAGCAAATGTCAAATTGTCTTTTTACCAAATTACCGTATGACAGACCACATATTCACCCTGCACACCCTGATTGACAAACAAACAAAAACAAACGCAAAGTCTTCTCATGCTTTGTTGATTTCAAAAAAGCTTTTGACTCAATTTGGCATGAGGGTCTGCTATGCAAAATGATGGAAAACTGTGTTGGGGTAAAAACATACATTATAAAATCTATGTACACAAACAACAAGTGTGTGGTTAAAATTGGCAAAAACAAACATATTTCTTTCCACAGGGCCATGGGGGGAGACAGGATCAGCTTGAGCCACACCCTCTTCAACATATATATCAACGAATTGGCGAGGGCACTAGAACAGACTGCAGCACCCGGCCTCACCCTACTAGAATCTGAAGTCAAATGTCTACTGTTTGCTGATGATCTGGTGCTTCTGTCCCCAACCAAGGAGGTCCTACAGCAGCACCTAGATGTTCTGCACAGATTCTGTCAGACCTGGGCCCTGACAGTAAATCTCAGTAAGACAAAAATAATGGTGTTCCAAAAAAGGTTCAGTTGCCAGGACCACAAATACAAATTCCATCAAGACACCATTGCCCTAGAGCACACAAAAAACTATACATACCTCGGCCTAAACATCAGCGCCACAGGTAACTTCCACAAAGCTGTGAACGATCTGAGAGAGAAGGCAAGAAGGGCCTTCTATGCCATCAAAAGGAACATAAATTCGACATACCAATTAGGATCTGGCTAAAAAATACTTGAATCAGTTATAGAACCCATTGCCCTTTATGGTTGTGAGGTCTGGGGTCCGCTCACCAACCAATAATTCACAAAATGGGACAAACACCAAATTGAGACTCTGCATGCAGAATTCATTGTGTACAACGTAAAACAAAAAATAATGCATGCAGAGCAGAATTAAGCCGATACCCGCTAATGATCAAAATCCAAATTAAATTCTACAACCACCTAAAAGGAAGAGATTCCCAAACCTTCCATAACAAAGCCATCACCCACAGAGAGATTAACCTGGAGAAGATTCCCCTAAGCAAGCTGGTCCTGGGGCTCTGTTCACAAACACAAACAGACCCCACAGAGCCCCAGGACAGCAACACAATTAGAACTAACCAAATCATGAGAAAACAAATAGATAATCACTTGACACATTGGAAAGAATTTACCAAAAAACAAAGCAAACTGGAATGCTATATGTCCCTAAATAGAGAGTATTGAGGAAAGCTTTGACTATGTACAGACTCATTGAGCATGGCCTTGCTATTGAGAGAGGACGCCGTAGGCAGACCTGGCTCTCAAGAGAAGACAGGCTATGTGCACACTGCCCACAAAATGAGGTGGAAACTGAGCTGCACTTCCTAACCTCCTGCCAAATGTATGACTATATTAGAGACACATATTTCCCTCAGATTACACCCACAAAGAATTTGAAAACTTTTGATAAACTCCCATATCTATTGGGTGAAATATCACAGTGTGCCATCAAAGCAGCAAGATTTGTGACCTTTTGCCACAAGAAAAGGGCAACCAGTGAAGAACAAACACCATTGTAAATACAACCCATATTTATGTTTATTTATTTTCCATTTTTTACTTTAACTATCTGCACATCGTTACAACACTGTATATA